GTGTTTACTTGGAAGAGAGGTGGAATAGCATTTTGGGAAGGTGGAGAAGGTGCGTAGTAGGGGCTTTGTGATGAAAAGTTGGTAGAACTAATGAATTAACTTAAATTCAAAGGCTCCTGCTTGATGGTATAAACCAACTTGTAGATGCGAATTTAATATTTTTTCACCATACTTGGAGGTAACCATAACGTGGAGGTACTGGGTAATTGCCTGCTTTGGAATTTCACGATTTGTCTCTGAAGCATCATCACGTACAGAGCTAGTCCACTAATCCAGTTCCCCACGACAAGTACTAAAGCAGGTATGCATTTAAAAATGATGAAGACAGACTGACCATAGTTTATGTGATGTGAACATACGTTAGTGTTAAAATGGTCTTCCTGAAAGGTCTTCTTACTCTACAAATTAGTAATTACACAACTTTGCTTGTAAGTAGAGCAATAGATAGTCTCATTGATGAAGCTTGTTGTTGAAGTCACTGAAGTCCTACAGCTGTAGAGACTCTTTACGTTGACACAATGTCATTGCTAAGGATGGCATTTTGTAATGGCAATCTCTATGGAAAAGAAGAATACTTCTGTTTAGGTTGTTCATTTACTCAAGGGAGATAACCCAGCAAACACTTCCATACTTCCTGGCAAGAAGTTGTTAATTATTGTGTTGTAGTCATCTTGACAGAGATGTCGTTCTCATGTGGGTGGACAGCTCAGAGAATACACGCAGGAAGTGCTGGACGAAAGGGTTGCCTCTGGAAAGTCTCTTTCTTCACAAAGAGACTCGACAGGCATTGACATCAGAGCATCAGTTGCGGAGCGTACTGGTTGCAGTGGTGGAGAGACTTGTTTGGTGTCAATGAAGTGTCAGCAGGCAAATCCATGAAGTATGGCATGAACAGCAGACCTTGTATTTGGTGAATAGTTGTGGGTGCTCTGATTCTCCGTTAGTACTCATTGAGGTAATAGGGCTTCTTTGTTCCTACACTGCTTGTGTGCAGACAGTGAGATAGGAAGTAGTAGAACTGTTCTTGATGAGCAGTAGCATAACTAAGAGTCACAATTAGCGATATTTTGGATAATTGACTTCTGTGATGCTAGAGAATTCTGCGATTGCGTTTGGAAAAGTGCTAGCTACTACAACCCTTTGAAATCGAATGCTGGGTGCATAAGCACTTTGTAGTCCCTTGGGGAAATAATCATGAGAGTGTTTTAAAGGGGTTTTTATTAACATGTTTTAGTTCAGACATGATTCAGATATTTTTGTTCCCCGTCTGAGTGATACATCTACTTGTCTGTCATCAAATAATTTGGGTTTAATTACAGAAACACATTTGGGGATCATAATTTAGTTAGTGGACTGTGTATTTTCTCAAAGTTATGACTGTACATAAAATAAATGCAGGAACGGTACCTAATGTGAGTTCTTCAATGCAGAGCCATGTGTTATTTGTCTATATGGTTTTCTATAGTAAAGGTCTGATCACTTATTCCTGTGTTTGCATTAGTATGTGTAAAAGAATCACAATTATGTATTTATATATATATGTTCCCATATGTAGATAAGTGTTTTTTAAAAATCTGTCCTCCACAGTTTCCAGTACCTTAATAACTTTATGAATCTGGGTACAGAAAGCCTCTGACTGTATCAACACCTCTTGAGTCCAAAAGGCCACCTTAATAGTTGGATGGCTATTCCTCCAACTGTTAGTTGCAATAATCTTAGCTCTGTAACTCTTATTTGAAGAGTTTATTTCATAAGCAACATCAAACAGATCAGATTATTTTATCATTTCCAAACTTGAGCATACATAAATGCAGAATCCAATAAATCTTGAAAAACTACTTCATGATTTTTATATAGAACTTATTTTTATATAGAACTCATTGCTTTTCTTCCTCCCTAAAATACTTGCTTTAAGGTCTTTTTCTTGAATTTTTTTTTTTTTTTTTGCAATTATGTGCGGGGAATTTAGGTATAACATATAATAATGAGGTGTGAGAATCTTTGTGAGTACAATTAGTGAACACAAGATGAATTCAGAGTCATGAATTTCACATCCCTAACCCCAAACCATCCAGTGGGATGTTTCAGGACCAGTGCTTTAAACAGGCTACACCAAACTGAAGAGTAGTGGAAAAAGATCTGACGCGTGCATCACAGAGCAGGCAAGTTTCCATGTTCACAAATGGTAGGTAGAGCATTATCATTCGGACACTGGCTGAAAAGCATGTTTAGCAAGGTGCCGGCTAGTGAGTCTGGGCAGTTGGTATTTTACAGGCCATTTCTATAGAAAGAATAAAAAAAAAAACTCTTTCCACCACAAAGTTGACTCTCAAAAGCTACAAATATCTTTCTGATCCTATTGAACTACATTTCAATTGCCATCTGATGTTTTGGGCTCCATATGCCCCTCAGATGAGGCCACGTAACACTGCCGTGAGATACCCACAGGCAGTATATGATTTACTGCAGTTGGATACAAGGATACGCAGTCCAAAATGTTTAAATGACTGTTCAGTACTCCTTTGTCAGGAGCACAATTCTTCCAGAAAGTGCCTGGATTTATCAGCAAATTGGACAGAAAACTTTCAACTTGAGGTTTCCTTGGAGCCTTCTCTTCCCCAGGCTGAACATCCCCAGCTCTCTCAGCCTGTCTTCACAGGAGAGCTGCTCCAGCCCTCTGATGGTTTTCATGGCCCTCCTCTGGACCTACACTAACAGCTCCACATCCTTCTTGTGCTGGGGGCCCCAGAGCTGGATGCAGTGAACCCAACAGCTAGAAAGAGATGTGTTCCTTTAAACACCTCTTACAGGGAGCTTGCACTCTATTTGCACAGCAGAGGAAGGAGCCCTGAGAGGATCAGCACTGATTGCTATTTTGTTGCAGGCAGATGGTGTGAACTTTTCACCGTTTTTTTTTTCCCCTCAGGAAATTTAATAGTATCTACTTTGGCTGGGGTCACAAATACAGCCCAGAAAGCCATACACCTGCACTGCCTGAGCCAGTGCAAAAAGAATACCCCGACGGGCCGGAGATCACCGAGGCCGCGGACCCGACAGTGGAAGAGGAGCTGGCTTTCAAGGCTAAAAAGGAGAAAGCCAGAGCTAAGAAGAGGAAGACGAGGAAGAATGAGTAGGTGATGAAGAGGAAGACATGATTACAAGATAGGAAACACGAATACTTAAAAAGATTAAATATTTATATATGGCGTGGTAATTCGTGTCGAGAAAATGGTTGATATTAATAAAGAATGGGGAGATTTGGGAATGTGGCCATGGGGGTTGGAAAGCCCCGTGACTGAGATAACATTTGACTCTTAAGGAGGAGGCCATCAGGAATATAAAAGAGTTTAGTGGGAAGAAAGAAGGGTGATTCAGGAGACTCCATGCAGTCTCCAGGTTCTCTTGTTCTCCAGCCATTGAGGCATGGAAGTTTCTGGGTGTTTGCTGTTGTTACATTCAAAGTTGTTTGACAGATGAAAAGTTGTTTTGAAAAGAACTGCTGTGGGGTGAAGGGTATAAGAGGGGAAACTGCCCTCCAGATAAAAAAGGCAACACGATGAAGTTATGTCATCAATAAAGAAGCAGGAAAAAGAAGTGAAGAGGAACAGGCTGGCAGAATGGAGACCAGGACCGGAACAGGCACTTTGATTGCCTCATGAAGATCGGTTCGGCCAAACTCAGCAAACTGCTCAGAGAAGCTCGTACAGAAAGTCACTGGAAATTGGTGCACTAGAGCTGGAGAGAAGCTGGAGCTGAGAGAAGCGGAGCCGTGCACACAGCTGCCCCTCACTGGTCAGCAGTTGTGCATTATGGGGAATCATACGTCCTTAGGAACAGAGACTGTCCAGGTAACCTTACAGCTTATTCTCCTTATTAACAATTGGACAGTTTACGAGCCTGAAATATGGGACCAAACTGAGGTCAAGGTGTGGGACTCCACAACTAAAAATGGCAAGGTTGCAGTGGGATTGCTCGGCACCTGGCGAGCAGTCTCTGAGGCCTTAAAGAGCCGTGTGGGACCACAGTCAGACACGTGTGGTTTGCCAGACAGTGAGGGAGCTGCGGGCTCTTTCACTGATCCTTCTGCTACACCATCGGCCCCTCTGCTGCTACAGCCATCGAAGGCCTTTGCTGTTCTGCCCCCTGGTGACCTGAACGTGCCTTTTGGCCCAGGCCTATTGGCGTTGAAAAGGAGATGGATAGGCTTTTCTTCGATCCGGGAAGAACGGGATACATAAGGCCTGAAGACCGAGTTGCTTGACAACTTAAAGCGAGACATATTGTTCAAAAGGAATGGGAAAATGGAGATTTGTATGTAATCAAGAAAAGGAGAGGAAAATGGAGACTGTTGAGTTGTGGAACTTGGAGGATTGTTTGTTACCTTTTCTGGTCGTGAATATGGATAGGTGTACTCGAGTTTACTAAGTCATGGAACTTGGAGGATTATTTGTTACCTTTTCTGATTGTACGTATGTATAGGCATACTCAGGTTTAGTATGTAAAGCCACGTTCTGTATATTTGTAATGTTTGATGTTTGTGTGTGCGTGTTGGTGTAGACTCCCCGCTCACCCAGCGCTGTTTACTTCCTTTTATACCTTTTAGAAATATTTGCTTTATAAATATTACAAAATTCAGATTGAGACCTCATTTATAACAAGATGAATAGTGTTTTAATAAATAGAGCGTAAACAAGCTCATCTTAAATGTAAGTGGAAGATGCTTATTTTGGGGGGTTCTGTGGGCTCCTTGGAGCTGCCTCTCCCTGCAGTGCCACGAAGCCCCCTAGCTTCCACAGGAGAGCAGCACCGCGAGCCCTTTCCAGGCGGAAAGGCTCCGATTCCTCAAACGCTTCTCTAACCGGCGCCTCAAAACCTATTCGCACCGCGTTAACGCCTCAGCGAGCGGGCTCACGCCTCGCGGGCGGCCATTCCGCGCCTCCCCTCAGCCGCCTCCCGCGTTCCCGCCCCCACGGGCGCCATCCTTCCTCGTCAGCGAGCGGCGCGGGCCAATCGGCAGCGGCCCCGGGCCCAGTTCAAACTCCGGCGGCGGTCAGGGAGAGCTCGGCCGCTGAGGCGCCGCGGGGATGGCTGACGAAGGGGCCGTTACCGTCTGCGTGCGGCTGCGGCCGCTCCTCGCCAGGTGAGGGCGAGGGCGAGGGGCTGGGCGGCGTGGGGGTGCGGGTGCGGGTGGAGCTGGTGAGCTTAGCGGGGGGCTTTGTCTCGTAGGGAGAGCGCTCTGGGGGACGAGGCGGCGCCTCACTGGAGGAGCGAGGGGAACACGGTCTCAGAAGTGAGCGGTGCCCGAGCCTTCAGCTACGGTGAGTGTGTGGGAAGGAGCAGCTGGGGCTGCCGCGGGCCTGCGGGATGTGCGGCTGCAATGCGTCCTGGCACTGCTGCCCGTGGCTCGTGTTGTTGTGCCCGGGCTCGAAATGGTTCGGGTGTGGTGTTTGTGTGGCAGTGCTGACCAGGAATTCTCCTTGGGGAACCAACGTCCTGCTCTCGGTGCCTGTCCCTGTGCTGGGCTGCACTGCGGGGTGTTTTTGAGCTGGGCTCTGTTGATCTGGAAGCGAGGTGGCAGATGCCCTCTGTAGTGCTCCCATTTCAGTGACAAGTGGCTGCGCTGAGCCCAGAGCATTGGGATGAGCCCAGAGCATTGGGATGCCGTGCACGTGAGATCCTTTTGCTTTCAGCATCTTCCTGCTGCTCCACCGTACTGCCTCCAGACACGATTTACCACAGCATACAGGTGAACGTGGCCCAAGCTACAGCATTAACAAGTAGCCTGTCTTGTCAGGCTTACAGTCCTGATACATAGATCAGCCTTAACCGTTTTTAGGGTTCAGTGGGACGACTGCATCTGTCATTCTTAGTTTCTTTGAGGCTCTGTTGTCTTTGCATCATCACTTTTGGTGTTGGGTTTAATCTTTTGTTCCTGAAGGCTGGCACAGTAGTGACACAACTGTGTTTTATGTTTAAATCATCCTGTAAAGACTCTGTCCATGATACAATACTTGAAGTCAGCATTGCTGAATCAGATGACGGCTTGATTTTGATTTGCAGTGCAATGTTCTTATGTGCTTTCTTTTCTTTTTTTTTTTTTTTTTTTTTAAGATCGTGTCTTTCACTCAAGTGACAACACACAGCAATTGTACGAAGGTGTAGCTGTTCCAATTATACAATCAGCCGTGCAAGGATACAACGGTAGGTTGTACAATTGTGTTTTAATCCTATTTGTAATGCAGTTTGGAAATAGTCGGTAAGACTTAATCATCTTCCTAGGCACAATCTTTGCTTATGGACAGACCTCCTCAGGGAAGACGTACACCATGATGGGGAACGAAGATTGTGTAGGCGTTATTCCTAAGGCAGTCCAACATGTCTTCAAACTTATTTGTGAGGTGAGTAACTCCATGAAATGGAGGTGACTGAAAGGACTACCAATATTTTTGAATGTTAAAGGAAAACTAATTTTAGCATTAAGGAGTTTGTGAGGAAAATAAACAGTTTATATTGGAGGATATGTTGCACTCACTTTGCTAAGCTTGCAGAGATGCCATTGGTTTTAAAAAGTACAAAAATGTGAAATAGTTGGAATGAAATCAGTAACAAAACAGTTGCTTTTAAACTTGCCAATACATTAAGCTTGAATTACAAGCTTAGGCAAGGTGATGTGCAGCTTTCTTCTTTGTTTTTCTATTTTAAATCTTAGCTTCAAAATACTAACAATATTAATGACTTTTTTTTTAAGCGGGAAGAATATTGAACTTACTTGAGGCTTTCAAAAGAATCGTAAGCCAGACTGGTCAATGCTAATAGTTCGAGAGTTGTCTGGGAATCTAGGTATAACATGGGATAAGCCTGCTAGAAAGGATTCACTGGGTCTGCACCCAGGACATAGGACACTGGCTGCCTAAGCATAGGACACTGAAGCCCTCTGTGCTGGGGAATGGACTAGCAGATTGATGTGAGCATATCAGGAGCAGTATGTAAGGCACTGACTTCAGGTGACAAAGCTGCTCCTTATGGCTTTTGGGTAGTTTGAGTCCACTAGAGACAGCTGTCGTTAACCCTGGACTTTGAATGTACAAGGCTGTCGGTTCTTCTGAGAAGGTGAAGTGGCTGTGCTATGTCTGGTTCTTGTCCGGCTGTCATCTGTATGGACATGCATGAGATCCAGCTGGATTGATACCGCATAGCATATCATCAGATAGCCAAATATGTATTGTGTCCTCACTGTTAAGTTGGGAAGGCTTCTGTGCAACTCATTGCACCACCCAGAGGTGGTGTACAAAGGTATTTAAAGCCAAGTAATTGAATTTAAATAAAAGTAACTATACTTTCTGTGGTGCTGTAGTCTAGTGTGTGGCCTTTCCTAGCAAAGCAGGTCGAAGAGAGAGAAGTCAAGCTACACCAAGAAGAGAGAAAAGAATTAAGTATGGAAAGGGGAGTTGAATTGACCTATTGTCATGCTTCTGTAGACCAATTAATTTGCTTTTATGACTTAATAAACATGATATACCATTAATGCAGCTGGAAGGAGATGGGACAGAAGGAAATGCATCTGTATTTGTAGACGCTCACGTGCAAAGGGGAAAGAAGTCTGTGGAAGGATATCCAAGCATATAGCTTTGAGTTCAGAGTACTTTAATTAAAAGGTGTTCGTTGTTTAGTCTGATCTAATTTGCTTAATATTGTTTTTATTTCCTCTTGCGATCATTAGATTCCAGACAGAGAATTCTTGTTAAGAGTTTCCTACATGGAAATCTACAATGAAACCATTACGGATTTGCTTTGTGATACCAGGAAAAAGAAGCCTCTAGGAATTCGTGAGGATGTTAATGTAAGTGGATATTATGTTAATGTAAGAAGACACATCAATTTCATCTGCTTGAGGGGAAAAAAAGCTTTGAGGCATCTAGGTGAAAACCTTTCCTCATCAAACTGTAACTGATATATTCAAAGACAGCAGAAAGGCACTTTATGTAATAGAACAGCAACAGTGAAGCTGGGCTTGCTGTTGCTGACTTATCTTTATAAATGTTGATAAAATGTAGACTTCATTCTTGACGTTTTCCAAGAGAGTGTATTTTATTTAACTGAAACAGTGAATACTTGGGATTTTTCTAGCTAGTGGAACTACAAACATGGTATTGATTCCCTAGCTCAATGCGTTAGAAGTCTTCAAAAGATAGAAAGATGCTATTAAAGCAGCTCTGTATGTCATCTACAAAGTGGGCAGAATTTTCTTCTACTGTAATCGCAGAAAAGTTATCAGAGTAGTACTATCCAGTAAAATAATCTGTAGGGAAAAATAAAATAATGCTATCCTTATGTTCTTGATATCAAGCTTTGTGACAAACTGTTTTTGTATTTTAATTATTTTGATCCATGCTTTTCGAATCTGGGAAGAGGGGAGACGTATAAGCTCTATGATTATGGCCTTATAACGCTTCCAGATATATCTTTCTGGACCTATTCTGAGGGAATCTCCCTTACCAATGTAATTTTTAGGATGGTTGCTGGAGCTCTGGTTTTTGTCTCTTCAGGTTATAGTACTGTTATAGGTCTAAATTTTCCTCTTTTTTTCAAGAGGCGAACTAAAGCAAAAATACATTCAACTAATCTCACTTCCCTTTAAAAGTACAGTCATAATTCTTGGTAATGTTAACTTAACGTATTCAAGTGAATTATAAATTTCAGTAAGTTATTTAATACTGGTTTTTACCTTTTTTTTGCTTTGTTTGCTTAAGAGAAATACATTTGTAGAAGACCTCACTGAAGAGGTGGTTGTTTCCCCAGAAGAAGTTATGGAATGGATCAGGAAAGGAGAAAGTAAGTTGGTTAACCAGTGTCAGCTGATGTTTTAGGAAAGTATTGAATTGTATACATCTAGAATCCCGAGTGTCTTTGAGATAATATTCAGAAATTGCTGCTTGCGAGCTTAAAGGCTGTCCTTGTCTTTTATCTCCAGTTTATTGGGGTGTATTTCTACATGTGTATTTCAGAAACAGAAGTATTTCTAATACTCTTTTTTGACAGAAAATCGCCATTATGGGGAAACAAAAATGAATGAGCACAGCAGCCGTTCTCACACCATCTTCAGAATGGTAAAAGCCTTTTCCTATGAGAAGGTTGTTTTGTTTTATTAAATATTTGAAGTGACAAAAGCTTATTGTGCCTGCTTCTTCTAGATAATTGAAAGCCGAGAACGAAGTGACCTTGCAAATGCAAACTGTGATGGAGCAGTGATGGTGTCGCACTTGGTAAGAAGTACTCTAAGAAGTTGTTAAGCAGGCATTTAAGCAGGGAGTTTACTGTTGCAGCTTGCCTGTGAGAAAAATGTTATTTTAGAACGACATTGCAAGCATGTTTTGTTGTTAATTTCTATCAGATGCTTCTTGGACATAAATCATGCTTCTGATCATCTGTATAGACGGAGACTCCTGGGGCGTTATCTGGAGGCTATCCTCCCAGCAGAGGGAATGTTGATGTGGTTAGAGTTGCTAGACAATACATGCTGGACTGAGGAGTGTGATGTCCTCCCCAGGAGCGTAAGGGACTATTGTCAGTGTGTGTCCCCATTTTTGTCAAACACAGCTTACCCTCTGAGTGTTCCTGATCACTGACAAACCCAGTGAAATAATTCTGAAGTAGCAAACGTTAAAGCTTCTATTAATAGAGTTTCTAGTAATAGAATAGAATTCCTATATAGAATTTCTCTTAATAGAGTTCCTATGATCTTATTTGATATCCTTAGGCACTTTGAAATTTTTTTGAAATGTTGTGGAGTTGCGTATCACTTCCAGTAATGAGAGAGCAATTGTTTGTTTTTTTTTCCTATTTCTTTCCAAAGCATAGCTATATTTTATGAAATTCTTAGCACGGATTTAGAATTAAGAGGATCTGAAATTAAATTACCCCCAGAACTAATCAGTGAAACGTTTAATGTTGCAGAACTTGGTAGATCTGGCAGGCAGTGAAAGAGCTAGTCAAACAGGATCTGAAGGTGAGTGTTGAATGAAGTTCTCCTTATGACAGTTTCTGTTAATTAAGGTTTAATGAGAGGCTGTGATGGAAAGGAAGCTCCTATCCATGTGATGTTGTTATTTCTAAGTATTGTATTTTCCACTTGACAGGTGAGGATCTGCTCAGGAAAATAGCAAAAGTTGTAAAGTGCAGACAATTGTGTAGTGACATGGCTTTTCTGGAACAGCAGGTCCAGCAAAAGTTGTAGGCTGTACTAATATAATGAAGATGAATAATCTGTAGTAAAGAAATCATTAGAAGCTCGTACGGACTGTTAATAAATATATAAAGCTGAAGAGTAAGTAGATAGCTCACTGTGTTAACAATCAGGCTTAGTTAAAAAGACAGCATGAAGAACAAAAATGCCATTATTAAAAAAAATAAATCATAATCTGAGAATAACACGTGAATATCCTCTCTTAAAAGGTGTGACTACCCTGAAAGTTGAATCTAAGGCTGGTTCGGTACAGTTAGATTCTATTTTTTTCTTTCTTTCTTTTTTTTTTTTTTTCCTGCAAGTGCCAATTTTAATTGCACGTCTAAATACAAAATAAACTTTGTTAACGAAATTCACGTTCCTCTGGCCCTGACTACCTACTAAGTGAAGATTATTAATGCTCATTTGTGATAGACTGATAGACTTTGATTCATTTGGGCTATTCTAAAAGACTTGATACTGGGTGCTGATGTGTCACAGTGCGTTTTGGTACTGGAGATGTAACTCTGGACAATCCCTCTGAGCATAACATAACACAACACCTTGACATGTTGAATAAAACAACATTTAGATACATCTTCAAGAAAGAAAATACTGTGTAATACCTAGGTCTCCGACTGAAAGAAGGCTGCAATATAAATCGGAGTTTGTTCATTCTGGGCCAAGTTATCAAAAAGCTTTGTGACGACCCTTCTGGGTAAGTGCTTGTGTTGACATACCTCTTTTTGGACAAGTCACTGATAAATTAAGAAGTTAAATCTCTTTAGACATCAAATAGTATTCTATATAGCTCTCCTAAATGTTCTGTCACCTTAAGACAATACCGTTTTTCATAGAAAAATGACTTTTTAAATCTGTTTTCTTACTTTCCCCTCAGTTTCATAAATTACCGTGACAGCAAGCTGACTCGAATTCTACAGAACTCTCTTGGAGGAAATGCTAAGACGGTTATTATTTGTACAATCACTCCTGTTTCTTTTGATGAAACACTCAGTACTCTTCAGGTAAACCTTCTTGCCTGTTGTCAAGCATCATTCTGACTCTAGACTTTAATATTGATGGCTTGGGGTGGGGGGAAAAAGGTGACGGGCAGGGGTCTTTAGTCACTGGAACCTTCTAAAGTTCCTCTGCACTTGGGACATGAAATGTGTTTATTTTGTACTCCGTGTGTTCTCTCAGTCACACTGTTGTACTAGTTTGGCTAGCTAGAGCTTTTTGGCAGTTCGACAACGTTTTAGCCAGCTTCTCCAAGAAGAGAGGGTAAATGAACTAGTGATGAACTTTAGGCAGGATTGTCTTCCTTCTGGTGCTCTCTAGATCTTTATATTGAGAAATAATTAGGTGTGGTTTTGCTTAAGCACACTTTTCTGTCATTCAACTGTTCCCTTATCTCTGTTGGGAAATAAGAGAGAAAATACGTCTCTTGATGCATTTGTTCTTTAATCGTTGTCCATGAGAGATGATGGTTGCTCTTCCAGTTTGCCCATACAGCCAAAGGAATGAAGAATACGCCAAAAGTCAATGAAGTTCTTAATGATGATGCCCTCCTGAAGAGATATCGCAAAGAAATTCTGGATTTGAAAAAGCAGCTGGAGGAAGTATGTAATAAATACAGTAAAACTTATAGTTTATATATGCCTGTGTGCATATATATTGCGTGTGTGTGTGTATATATACGCGTACTTTTGTATATTTACAGTGGTAGCTATTTGGAAACTGTTTTAAATCAAGACCAGTTAAATCTGGAGGGGTGGGGAAACCCTTTAAGCTGGTAATTGTTGCTTATATTCAGAGAATAAAAATTGAAAACAAAGCGAAACGTAAAGCAATTGATAATGACCAGTGTATCTGGGTGAAAGCTAGCGCTAAGCGAGGCCAACTGACTGACAAATGTATTTGTAGGTGAGAGAGTTTAAGAAACTTATCGTGCCTCATAGTACACTTTGATAGTGCTACAAATGAAAGCAATAATTAACTGACGCTCAATAACTTCCTGTATTATAATTGAAGGTTCCAAATGGATTGTTTCCTCCTTCCTAACAGATGTTCAGCCTAAGCTGCAGCTGTGTAAGATCAGTGGCAAAGTCTGTCGTGTGTATGTTGAAGATATGTTTTAAAAGTGGATGACTTGAGACTTCCCACCATACAGTGTAGTCTCATTCATCTTGCTCAAAACAAACAAACAACAAAAAAAATAGCCAATACAGTGTTGATGAGAATCCTGCAGGTGTTGTAAGAGAATGCATCATAATATGTGAAGCATGGGAAAAGAGCAACTTAGACATGATGCATCTTTTGATGATTTAAATCAAAGCAATATTTTTTTTTGGGGGGGGGGCAGGAAGAGTTATAGAAAAAGGTTAAGGAAAGATTTGGCTTAAAAAAATTAATTTGAAGTATAGATTTCCACCTAGTGGTATGCTTGTTCTGTTATAACATGACGTAGTCAGGAAAGTACTTCTGTTAAGTACAGAAGAGGTTATTAGAAAATTGCGTGTATTCATCTCTAAATACTTAATTATCGCAAGATAACTAAGCTGTCAAATAACTAGTTACTGCAATGCAGTTGCTTTACAACAGAAAAAATTATCAGTACCCAAAATTTTGAGACATTGCTTGCATTAGAGAAGCATATTGTTATGTGACAATTAAATCATAGCTATGAAAGAGCTTCAGGCCCTGTAGAGAGGTGAGCTTAAACTGTTATATTTGAAAGCATGCTTTCTCTATTTTTTAAATTCCTAGAGAAGTCTGTAGCTATATTGTTTTGCTTTTCTAAATACTTGCATATACAGACTTGAAATACTAAGTCCATGGGTAAATTGTGGACTGAATTGTCAGTTGCTTTCTTAAAGACTAGAGACAGCTCTTCCAGACTTAGAAGAATATATGTACATGGTGTCATTTTTAATTAGTAATAATACCTTATCTCTTGTACCAGTAGTTTGTACTCTTTATGTCAACATGATTGATCTTTTTATGGAAGGTGTCTCTGAAGACTCAACTTCACGCGGTGGAAAAAGATCAACTGGCCCAGTTGCTGGAAGAAAAACTTTCTCTTCAGAAAGCGCAGGAGGATAGGATACGAAACTTAACTGAGATGCTGGTGACTTCTGCCTCGTTTTCAGCAAAACAGGATATTAAAGTAAGAGCAGCTGTTACACATCTGGTTTGTTAAATCTTACATAGAGTCATTGTGAAAATGAGGAATAAGTTTGAGTTATGCAGTCCTGAGACTTCACTTTCAATATGCCCAGACCAATTGTGTTTGTGCTCAATTTTCACACTTTTAAGGAATAACCTCTTAAATAACTTGTGAGTAAGCATTCATTCAATTCTGAACAAGACTTTTGCTTACAAATAATCGTGCTGTAGTTCAGTTTTGAAGAAACTGCAAAGCAGAAGATACTGTAGGATAGCCTGCAGGACTGTTGTAGCACTAACTTATGCAACATCTACTCTCTACGTAGTGCTTAGATCACCATTTTCTATAAATAAAAATATTTATTTAAAATTTTTTTTTTAAGGCCAAGAAAAGAAGAAGAGTTACATGGGCTCCTGGTAAAATAACCCAGAAGAATGTGAATTATTTTGAAGACTTTGAAAAAACGGAATTGACTGAAACAAAAAAAATGAAAGCATCCCTGTCTTTACTACCAGGTGGAGAGGGTTCTAAGTATCTTTGTGGGGTGGAAGGAGAACAGGAAAATTCTGCAAGGCAGCTTTGAAATGAAGACCTGAAAATGAGGAATAATCCCTTGCTTATAAATCTAAATTTATAGATTCAGAAACGTTACTCACTGTGCTACATCATTGCCATTGAATGATTATTTCTGATGTGATGAAATCTTTGACAGAACTCTTGATGTCTAGTTTAAAATGTACTCTCACTCTATTTCTAATGCATCTTCCTCTTTAGCTACATTTTCTGAGAGTTCTGAAAATGACAACCAACGTTTAACTCTTCCCGATCAAATTTTGGATACAGAGTGGACTCCTGGACCTGACATGAACTGGGTAACTTCATAATCTCTTCAGTTGGCCTTGCATGGTGTATACACGTTCCATGCTTCTCAGTAAGGTCAGCCTTACCCTTCTTTAGGGCATCGACAATCTTTTTTGCGTCTAACTAGTTAGAAAGCAAGTCTCTGTCATCTGTTTGAAGTTGTGGGATGTTTTTGTGGAGAATGGGCTAGTGAGCTTTGGTATTTAAACAGGACTAGCAGTGAAAAGACAAGCAACAAGGAATATAATAAACTTGCTTCGGCTTGTACATCAGCTAACTAGAAGTGATTCTCTTTCTAGACTCAGAAAGACTTTGAAGAATCTACGCAATGCTGTGAAGTTTCAACGCTAGAAAAGGTAAGCCTGTCCATTAGTGTCTTAAAAATAAGACCGAAATCCCAATAACCTCTCCTAAAGTTTGTTATCCTTTTTTTAGGACCTTGCTGTCAGTGAAGTCAATGTCCTAAAAGCTAACTTGAATAAAGTCGTATTAGAAAATGAACAGCTGAAATTAGAAGTAAATGAAATGAAGGCGAAACTGAAGGAAAAGAGAGAAACAGAAGAATTTGAAATGCTGGAAAAGCAAACACAAAAAGAGCATGAGGTAAGGTGCACTGAAATACAGATAGATAAGAATTCTGTATACTCAATTTTTTTTTGAAGAGTTAAGTCAGTATACATCTACTTGGATGTTTATCACAGGTGGTGCTAAGTTGCGCTCAACAGCAGAACGAAAGAATCCAGGATTTGAAATGCACTTAGTGTAAAACTCATATTTAAACTGTGAATGTTATTTAAATTCTTATTTCATTTTTGAATTTTAACTAGAGGAAGTCTAGTTAAACACATGTATATATTTGTGTGTATCCACACTATATTTTTTGTGCGCATGTATGTGTAATACATGAATGGTCTAGATTTCTGCAAGAGGTTCTCCCTTTCCAATGCGTAATAAACGCGCTATTACTAAATAGGCTATAGAGTATTTTGAAGTTAGTGAAGTATGGCTTAATAAGCATACTCGTTTCTTGTGTAGGACAGTTCAGTGAGTTACAAAGATCAGAGCGATGTCAGCATTATCTTGAAACATTGTTTAACTCGGTCATAACGCGAATGGTGATGTCTGTAAAAGGAAAAAATAAAAGCTGTTTTGTGCCACAAAGTCAGAACATTCTGTCTAGTGGATAATATGATACAGGACATGCAGACTTCCAGTTCCTTTCGCCTCCTCGTGCTTTTTGTGGACATCTTTTTTTGTCCAAATGTCTGTTTTCTTTCTATGCTCTAATTCTGTTACAAGTAATACGTACTTCTATTTAGGCATTACGTTCTAGTTGCCCAAGGGCTAGTCTGTCAAATAAGTTACAGAAGGAAAAGAGACATTTGAGGTATTGAGACACGGGTATACTTTATTCCATTTCTTACTGTTGAGGGATTTTTGAAACAGCAAAGATTCCACGGCTTGCCACAGCTGAGCAAACCAAGTCCCCATGACAGTGTTCCCACACTGCCCAATTGAGGAATTCAGAAAAATATTGTTGCCAGTAGCTGGCTTCAGGGACAAGGTCTACGTGACTGCTAATCACAAGGGGGTTGTTTTCTTGCAGGTGGGGTTGTTTTCTTGTAGTTGTTTGTCTGAGTGCTTTTGACCAATAATCTTGTGTGAGACACTATCCTCCCGTTTAAGTTCACTAGAAAAGTCAGGCTATTCGGGTAATAAAATGGAGCATGATCTGACCCTACTGGTGTCTGTCATGTCTTCGGCCGTTCTTCCTGCAACATCTTAGCTCATACCTTTTCCAGAAGGAGCTGATTCTTTGCTGTGTTGGCTGCAGACTGGTTGTACGCCCTAGGCTGTTTCATATCCTCTTACCATGATGCTAAGGTTGAACTGAAGTTGCATCCTTTCGCCCTGTTTCAGGTTACAATTTAACAGCCTCACCTATTAGTTGTGTTCCCCACAAAAATGTATAGGTATATTCTGAAGCCAACATTGAACAAATCGTGTTAGAATTGTCCCTGAGAAACCTGTGTGTCTACTGACAAGTAGTCTAAAGTACCTTAAGTTGCAAGAACTGCTTTTTGAATAAATCCTACCTTCAGATCCATATCTGAAGATACTCCCTAAAATGGAAGCATTTGACACCTGTGTAGCAAAGTAATTACAGCATAAGTGACAGGTCACCTACTTTGCTGAGCAGATTTGGCTGAAATCATCAATTTCAGCCAGCAGACACACAGGGGTAAACTCTACTGTGAATAATGACAGGAAGTGACTTTTAACAGGTAGTTTGATACTGTTTCTACAGCTCTCCTCTGACCTGAAAATTACAGGTTAGGTTTCCTCCTCCCTATGCTTGTAGCTTTTCTCTGTAGTCTTCTACTTGTGCCTCCTTTCAGAGGATGCAGCTTGAACGTGTTTATGGCTTGCTTGCTTCACCTCAGCTCTGACACTTCCTAGTTCTTGTCACTGAATAGATTGCATTAGATAGCTGCGCTGTGTTGTAAAAAGCTGCTTAACGTGACCAATCTGAAGTTTCATACCTTACAGATTTGTGCATGAAATGGCTTTGATCACATTGCTTTCACTTCTCGAGCTGTTTAAAATTAAGTTGTACTTGAAATCTTTCAATTTGCTGTGAAGCGGAAATGGAGCTTTGCATTTTATCTATCAGTTTGAAAGGGTGTAGCAGCTTGCTTTGTACCTGTTTAAATACATATTCATGTATATGGTTTGCTAACTAACAGAAAAGAAAACATAAGGTAGACCTTGCTTATTTTCGTGGCGGTGGCAGCTAATACCATTGGTTGTGGTCGCTTTCTAACCTCCTCTGCAATTTTGCTTCAATTTGCTCCACAGACAGAACTAATGCATGAAGTTACCAGCCTAAAGAATGTAGTTTCAAATGTGGAAGCGCACAATGTAGAACTTGAGGTGAGTCTGTCTCAAGCTTGCATGCAGTAAGGCTTCTATGGAATGTTGTTTGGTTTGTGTTGGTTATACTCTTATCTACTATGGACAGTCTAGACTTACAGGGCTCTGGTTAGTCTTACCAGCTGTAAAGGGGATATTTATAAACTCAATCTTACATAATAAGCGTTACTAAATTTTCTGTTAGATTTCTACCTGAAAAAAAAAAATGGAGCTAGGTTTTCCCTTGTGTTTTTTTCCCTTTTCTCCTGTAACTTTTAGGCAGAAATAAGCTCCAAATTGGAACAGCTGAAAGAGAAAGAGAACAAAATAAAGACGTTACAGAATCGTGTGGAAGAATTGCAGAAAGCAGGATTGGAAAAAAAGGACGCATGTGTTTCAGCTGTAAATGTGAGTTTTCTTCTGGGGTTGCGAGGCTATGTTGGATGTTACTTTGTTGGGTATGGGTTAAATATAATTATAGCTTTAGTTTGGTTGAAATCTGCTGTCAAGCGAATTAGCTATTCTTTGAAGCTTAAAACACTGACTGACTACATCAACAGTTCTCCTGCAAGAAGCTTGTTTTATAGAGCAATGCTCTGGTGAAGTAAAGCTATGGGAAAGGTTGCACTTCATCTAAAAGGAACAGTAGAAGGACAGAGCTCAGATAATGAACCATGTTTGCGAAGTCTCTTCTGTACTTTAACTGTATTATAATGATCAAGTTTGCTTTGTTATGGCCTGTTTTAGCTTTTTTATTATTTTTCCTCTCTTTCAGAGAGATTTCGGTAAACTACTTGAGGAAGTTCAACAGTTGACCAAATCCCTCTTAGATAGTGAAGCTATAGCCTTGGATGCCAAAAAAGAGTCTTCTTTTCTCAGAACTGAGAATCTGGAGCTGAAGGAGAAAATGGCAAGTATTTGTTAAACCACTTTTGTTGCCGTACCAAATACGGTTGAGGTACTGTTGTCTTACAATCAGTAAATACAAGATTTGGCTAGTGACTCGTGCTCCAAGTGATGTTTTCACTCTGGAACTCGTGGAAAACAGGTCTTAGGAGAAAGATGAAAAGATACTAGAGGCTTGTTGTGCAGGAGTAAGCGTGCAGTCTATCAGTATGGAGAGAATAAAGCAGTAGTGTTTGGGGAGTTCCTGGGACAGAAGACTCCAAGTCTGATTTTTCCCAGGGAATAAAACAGTAAGATGAATGCAGGAAAGAGGGGTGGACCGTGCTTTGAGCTTTGGTGGAGTAAAAATGAAATGGGGAAAGCGGTTATGGTTCAACCTCTAATGTAAGGTACATTTTGGTTAGCGCTCTAACAGGAATTAAGCTCTTTAACCACGACTTGTGTTGTATTGATCATGATCAAAGTTGTTGAGGGCAACAACAGGAAATGTGATGGGATGCAATGTTCAACTGTTAAGCAAGTAGGCTTGGATTTTGTCTGTGAACTGCATGTTGTTTTGTCTTCCTGAAGAATGAACTCTTAAGTAATTACAAGCAAATGCAAAAGGATGTGCAACTCTATCAAAGTCAAATAGAAGCAGGAAAAGCCAGCTACAAAAAGATGGAAGCTGACTTGCAGAAAGAATTGCAGTCTGTATTTCAAGAAAACACAAGGTTAACTTCACTGATGGAGGGTAAAGTTCCAAAAGGTACTGTTCAGTTGGAGTTGGTGCTCTCTTCCCATCCCTTGCCCCTTCTCCCTTTCCCCACTGAGGTGGGTGGTAGGGAAGATTTTGGCTCTAATGTTTTCTAGACTTTAATGTCTATGACGTTCAGAGTGCATTACACCTCTTCTGCTTAATTTAAAACTTGATTTTCTACCCTCACACTTTCTAACCTAAAATTGTTCACTTTTCTAGATTTGCTTTCTGTTGTGGAGCTGGAAAAAAAGGCATCTGATATAAAAGCGGAGCTAGAAAAAGCGTTGGAAGAGAATGCACTCCTACAAAAACAAGTAAATGAGCTACCAGAATTTCAGTCTCTACCAAATAGTGTTGAGATGCAGCAGAGAGAGAGAAACAAAAAGAATTCTGGAAAAAATCAATTTTTTCTGGAGCTGGGCTTCCTTATATTCTCATTATAGAACATATATTGTGTTCTTTATATTGTGCTTCCCGAGTTACACATTAGAGTATCACACATTAGAATCTAATAGGCCTCTTGAAGACAAAAGTAGTCTTAAATCAAATAACATGACATTCTTCAAAAAAAAAAAAAGCCATTAAGGTGCTTTCCCTCAGGTATCTGATACTTGCATTCAAGAAAAAATCAAAGATCACATGCTGAGTCATAAAGTCTGCTAGAACTAATTAATGTCAATTTCTAATAACTAATGTAAATTTCTAGTACAAAGCTTGCTTATTTGCCTTGCTATAGCTAGGAGTATTAATCCATTCTTAGCTCAGATATGTTAAACAAAAAAAGTTTTAAATGTCTAAAAAACATAATTAGTTTGTCTTTTTGAACCCAGTGGGGCTTACCATCATCCCTGTTGTTCAAAGATTTGTTTGGGTTTTATTTTGTTGGGGGAGAGTCTGAAGTCTAGCACCATGCTGTGCTCTGTGTTTTGCCTATGTTTGTTTCCAAAGCCTGCATATGGACACGTTTTGTTTTTTTCATTATATAGTTGTGACAAATACTGACTTAGAAAATGCTGTTGATGTTTTCTTTTGTTCGTAGACTCTCGAAAAATGTGAGGAGCTACGCTTACTAGAACTGGAAAGAGAAAAGCTGCTCTCTGAGGCAGCTGATAATGAAGTTAAACTGAAGCATATGACTGAAGAAATTGGGAAACTGAAAGAAGATCTAGCAGATGCACAGCTTAAGTATGAGAACTCCGATCAGGAATATGTAGCACTTAAGCAGCTGCATGAAGAACTAGAACTAAAATACGTAGCTGCGTCGGAGAACAGCGAACAAATGAAACTCCAAATAGAACGTCTATCTAAAGAAGCAGAAGAGTCTGAAACAGCCTTGGACGATGTGAAATTGGAGGTCAGTGTCATCTTGATCCTTTAGACATGTAAGATACAAAGAATTCTTCCGCAGTATTAAAATCACTTGGAGAAGTGATCTTGAATGTATAAATAACATTGCAGCTGAAATTCTTGTAGCGTTAGTGGATATTACTTGTTCTTTGCCAGATGTGCAGTCATAGGCTTATGCATCAAAATGGCCCTTCATGGGGAAAGAAACATGTAGTTTACAGCAGGCTGTGTTCTTCTGTTCTCTAGTTCTAATTCTTCTTTTCCCATTCTTAAGTTTACTTATAGGGCAAATGGTATTTAAGTTTATTATTCAAATGTTATTTATTATGAAAATATATTTTAAATATCTAGCTACGACTCTCTGAAATCGTAGAAACAAAGCTTTCTCCTCAGGGAACCGTTTAGGATTCTGCTTTAAAAGAAAGAAAAGGGCAGATCTTTCAAACCAGAGAAAACCACTGCATTAATTGGGAAATATAAAGGTGGGGGGGAGGAACATCCTTTAGAAGAAAAGGAAACTAAAGCTGCGTGTATTTCTGACAAGCCTTTTGGTAGTGCTCTGGCTGTCATAATCGGCTACAGATTTGATTGCTTCCTAAGCTAGGCTACAGTGTCGTGTGTGTTGTGTTTTAGCAAGGCTTTTCCTGCTAGGGAGAAACCATCAGAAGGTTTCCAGAAACAGATGCCTATTTAATGTGGGCCAGAAGGGAAGTGGAGGCTTAAAGTGAAACAGTGAAACTTCTGTTCTTTTGCTGAAGAGTGAGAGGACGCTATCATTTCTAAGCTAATGTGAGTCTGTGAAAACATGTATGTAACATGCTGTTTCGCGTGACAATGAAAGTGTCGGGTGTTTCCCTTTACAAACCAAAGCTCTCTAACAAAATGAAAGAGTTGGAAAAAAAGACAGCAGAGCAGGAGCATCTTCTTGGTGTAAGAGAGGATCTTATTCAGACTCAGCAGAAGCTAAATGAAATGGAACAATTGAAAGAGCAAGAGAAGATTATGGAATCGAGATTGGAGGCCAAGGATTCAGAGTTACAGGCAGTTCTTCAACAGCTTAGTGGATGTCGGGAAGAAATAAAAACTCTCACTCAGGAAAGAGATGACCTGAAACAAAGAGAGGAGACTCTCCAAGCTGAGAAAGACCAGCTCAGTGAAGATATCAAGGACACTGTTTCAATGGTAGGAATTCTGCCTTTATTGAAGTGGACCGTACATGTTAAGGGGAAAGAATATAAGAACGGTTATGAACAATATTGAACTACATAGGGGGTTAGGAGAGTGGAGTTTTTTGTGGAGCTTTTTGTTTTTATTCAAGAGTACTTAGTAATGTGGCAAAATACCTCAAGCTTCTCTCTTGTGGATTTTCTTCCTTTTATTCTAAAGAACATTTTAGCGCACGAAGAACTGAGAAATGCACAGAGTTCTTTGAAGCAGTCCCAGGAAACTGTTAAGAAATTGGAGAAAAGTCTTTCTGAAAAAGAGTCTCAGATGCTGAGTGTTGAGGAGACACTAAGGAAAACCATCAGTGACCTTGAAAGACAGGTGAGATGATATATCATCATTCAAAACTTATATTGGAAAATGCTTTTAACAAGTGTGAAAATAAGCCTGGTTAACGGCCCTGCAGTCTCTTCTGCTTGCCCTTAAATTTCTACTCCTTTGGCAGAAAGCGTGTGACAAAGGTGTACTGTCTGATCCAAGCCTTCGCAGCTTGATGCTCTACAGAGAGATCAGCATCTGCTGATGTACGCTCATAAATCTGTGCTTAACTAGTGTGTTCCAGAGCTGCCGACCTGAGTGGTGGCATTAGATGACAAACGGAAGAAGAGACGAGTTGCCATAAGCTTTATGGTTTGTAACACTCGGGTCCCAGTAAGAAGTCTAGCAAGTGGTTGTAAATGGCAGCTGAGCTCCAAACACAGAGCAGAAAGCTGATCCCATGTCTTCATGCTTGGGTACAACAACTTGCAAGGAAGGGTGCTGAGAATATTTTCTTGTGCAGTTGCTTCAGTGGCAATTGCTTTGGCAGGACAACCTGTAATACATGAGACTGGCCTTTAGCCTGAAGTAAGTATATCAGCTGCCAAACCCAGTAAGTCAGCGGTCATTAATTCAGTATTTGCACTGCCATTTTTTTTTTTTTGAGTGTATGCATAAAAATAAGTGAAGCGATCCCCTCTTATTTGGCTTCTTCCTCCCAGACATTTTCTAAATAAAATGTGGCTAGTTGCAGAAGAGAGTGCTTAAAAAGTTAAAGTTTAAAACAGGTGACAGAAAGGCCAAAGGTCGTTCCGTATTTTTTTCCTATTTTAATTACAGCAGTTTAATACTAGAAATGCTGTAGAAGGAGGAATCAATTTTTTTTGTATTTAAGAAAGTAGTTCAGAGAAAGAAGGTCAACTCCTGAAAGTGCAAGAGGCGTTGAAGGAAACAACTGAGCTGAAGCAGAAGGTCAGATGTAGTTCCGCAAATGAAATCAGATTTCTATCAAGGTTGGGCAGCCCATGGCCTCTGCAGACTTCAGGTCGAAAGGGTTCAATAAATGTAGTCATAAAACTTAATTAAAAGCTTTTCCTTTTTTTTCCTGTATTGCTTTTCAAAAGAAAGCCGTAAAAATAGAGGCAGTGAAAAGATGACCGAATTGCAATTTGACCTGTAAGCTACAACCCTTTATAACAAAACATGCATTAGTACTGAAGGGTAGCACGTTAGACATCAATGCTGCTATTTGACTTCAATTTATTTTAAGTCTTAATTTTTTTAACGTTTCTCTAATAGCATGCTGTCTTTCAGCTATGTGACTCTGCAGATACTTAAGCAACTAAATGGCAGTTCAGTGCAGCAAGTTGCAGAACAAGCTGTGTATAAACTTAGTGTCTACTTGCTTTCATATCTGAAGCTACTGGGTCTTTAAAACAAAAACCATGAATGCTTGTTAGAATCAAGCCTGTCTGCTGCAGATACAGTAATGGAGTTGTTTTTGTAGAATGATAGTGGATTGTAAATTTTGACACACTTCTGCCAGTGAGATAATCAAACTTCAGTGCTTCTAACTTTTAAGCAAAATTGTTTATCATCCTTTGCTTTCTACCTGAGTAAACTAATGGGCATGTCTTCTGTAAAATGATCCCGTTATAAGAACGCGTGTAGATAGATAATGCTTGTGAAAAGTGATCCAGTAGCACTTTTCTTATATCAGCCTGATTACTGGGACACAAAAAAATAGCATGGTAACGTTTTTTCCAAACTAACAAATGCTTTCCACCTGTGCTGGAAATGACCAGCAGTATTAATAAGAGATATTTGTTCTTTCAGCTGGCTGAAGTAACTGAAAACCTGACTCGTGTCTCTTCTGAGTATGACACGCTACTTGCAGAAAAAGAACAGGCTGAAAGAAGAATGAAGGAGCACGTCTGTCCGGAGCCTGAGAAAGTTGCTGTACTTAATCAGGAGAAAGAAGAACTGCAGCAAATGGTAGAGGTCTCTAAAGCAGAGAGAGAGCAGTTAGAGGCTAACTGTCAGAAAGCAAGAAGAGAGTATGTATTTAAATCTTCTAATCTTTGTTTGAAAGACACGTTATGCTACTATATTCCTTGAGTCATGAAGCCTGTTCAGTGTCTCTTCCTTTCTTCATTTGTTCTCAGAAGCAGTAAACTAAATGTAGGTTACTCATCCAATCTGGATCTTGGAACTTGTTTCTTAATTTTATTTCACCACCCCTTTGGTCACTGTGCCACTCTGGGTTTAGCAACAGTTGTTTGCTGCCTGATGGACAAACACTGCCCAAGTTTCTGTGACATTTTTCATCTCCGGTAGCTTTGCGTTTAGCACCGAGCAGTGAAGGTAATACGAGTTGACAGAAATCAAAGGGCTGAAGTCTCCTACCATTTCAGTCCAGGATAAATTGAACAAGAGAAATCTAAACCTGGAAAAGAAATGATCTAATGTATTTCTCCTTCCTGATGTCTTGTTCTTGGGGCAGAGTCGCACTTCAAGGTTCCAAGTATTTGCCTGAAAATGTGTTTGTGTTGACAGTATTTCAGACAAACTTAACCTGAGGTGCGGCCAACAAAAATGGAGCTAGTAAGTAGGTAAAAGGAAGTCTGGTAAATCTTTCCTAAGAGACTTGCAGAGCCTTTCATAAGAATTAAAAGCTCTCATGAATTTGAGCAAACTTCAGATAGTCTATCCATACTGAAGAGACCAGAGATCCTAACTGTTCCAAAACCTAAAATCAGTGAACTAAGATGAAATCTTCAGAGTTGTAGATCTTGCTACAGCACAACTTGACAAAACATTCCCTTAACTGGTGACAGTTAAGAATTGTAAGTAAAATTTAAGGAAGACATACTGGGTGATCAGCCATGTCACGCTTTGTTCTGCAGTTGTCAGAAGTTCTGACAGAAATGGAAAGTCTGCAGGAAGAACTAAAGCATCATAAAGAGCAAGCTGCTATTCAGAAGAACTTGATAGCAGAAGGAGAAGAGAAACAGCAAAAGACTGAAGAAAAACTAACTGAAGAAATAAACAGACTGAAAGAGAAGGCAAGTACACTAACAAAAGCAACTCTTAAAGCTGCTTTAGAGAATGTCCCCTGAAGGACTGACGGGAATAACAGCTACCGACCTATTTTAATTTGTACTGGTCTGCTAGGTGAGTTTCTGCTAGTAGACCGTGACATCCTGTTGATAAATAGCATGTGTTGATTTTGTATTGTTTTTTCTACTTTTGTAGATAAACGCGTTGAGTGAGGACTTGAATTTGGTAACTAAGGAAAGGCAACAGCTGCTGGGAGAACTAAAAGAGAAGACTGAAAGTGAAAACAAAGACAATGAACTTCAACAACTAGAGAAAAGATGTGCTGTGTTAGCATGGGAGAGAGATGAGTTTGAGGAACTGCTGGAAGCTGTCCAAGCAGAGAAGAACAAACTGGAGGTTAACCTACAGAAGAGTGTTGATAAGGTGCTTTATCTTTTGATTAAAGTAGAACAACGATAAATGTTTAGGAGAGAAGGCTGGCTGAATCTTGAAGCTGTTTTTCAAAACAGCTGTCTTGCCAGTATTAGTGTTATATGTACAAATTGCAGATACCGGTGTGCTTTGATTTCTGTCTTGGGGAATTGCATTAAGCATCTGTGCGAAGATGTATTCTTTCAAAAAATCTGAGACTTCGTTATTTGGGAAGGAATGAAGAACCAGAAAACATGGATGCAACTACCCATATGCTTAATGGGCATTTCTGTGAATTTGGTGGTGCGTTTTGGAGTTCCAGAGCTGACACTGAAACAGCCCAGTTCTCTGTGTATCTCTGTTTTGCTTCTGGATAAAGAGTAGCTTCATAACAGAGCCCTGGAACAGGTTGCCCAGGCTGGCTGCGGAGTGTCCTGTGGAGACATCCAACACCTGCCTGGATGAGGGCCTCTGCAACACGCTGTAGGCAACCCTGCCTGAGCAGGGGAGCTGGACTAGATGATCTCTAGAGTTCCCTTCTGCCCTCAGCCACTCTGACATTGTAATGATGAAGACGACAATTGAAGTGGTTGGGTGGTGTCCATCGAGCAGCAGTCTTTGTTCAGAGAGGGAAATCACCTCGGTGATCTGTAGTTGATTCAAATCTGTGGTAGGCAGAGAATCTTCTTACGCGTGCTACCACTATTTTCCAATTCATCTGTTTTAGTGTATCTGTTGCCTTGCTGTAAAGCTTAAACTTCATTTGAAATTTGGAAGTCTAGTGAAAGAAAATAATCAAAGGTAATTTAAAAGCATTTTTGGCAACTGTCTGACCGAACGTTGTTCCACGTTAGGTCTAGAATTTATTTTCTAGATGGTTCTCAACGTGAACCCCACTCATGTTACATCTCTGCTTTGTGTTCCTCATCTCTGAAACAGGGATTGCAGAAAATAAGTCAAAGCGTGTTTGTAGCATACTTTGTATACTTGACACAGAATACTGATAAATCGTCAGTATTCTAAGTTGGTAGGTTTTATTTAGAAATGTTCAAAGACAAAATATGCAACTTTTTAAACTAAAGCAACATAAGTGTTTCTGTAAAGTATTTTGACTCGTATGAAATATTGAATGGTCTGTTGTGTTAGAAGTAGATTCAGCTAATATCTGAGTTTTGATATGTTAAATCTCTTTCTGTTTTTACTGCAGCTTGTTGAAACAGAAAACGAATTGAAGCGGCAGCAAGAACTCCTCAGCAATGAGAAGATCAAAGCTGAAGAAAGGGAGGAACGTCTGTTGAAGGTTCAGAGGAGGTCAGAGATTGTACAGGACAGCCTAACAAGTAAGGTGAGGAGCTTAGGAGCTTTGGTTTTTAGCTAGCTACTCCACAATTATGTTTTCTGATGTTTCATCCCTGATGAGCTAAGTTTTTGCTCAAGACAAGCCCAATTGAATTTTAAATTGTCAGCCTATCACTGTTGTGTGACATAAGCATGAACACGAGAGAGGATTTGTAAATGTTTATTTAGCAGATATCTAGAAGTGCCATCCTGGACTCATGTCAACCTCATAAGCCAGCTGGGTTGGCTGCTCCACTGGAATGGACACAGATTTGTCCAACTTGTCCAGGTTTGATATGATGGTGACTCTGTATGTGTTGGTTGAGACTTTAAAAGGCACCACATAGGCTGTTTGAACTTCAGTGGGTTTCGAATCCTTGGTGCTTTGCACGCTTTCAAACTGGCTTTTATTCAGCAAATACTGCCACTTGGCTCTTCCCAGCTCGATCTTTCTGCGGTTTTCATTCTTTGCTTTTCACCTGCCAAACTCTTCCTTTGTAGATCAAACAGTATAACGAAGGATGCTTCAAGCTAGCTGTATGTGTTGTTGATCAAATGATTAGAACAGATAGATGGACTGTGGAATTGTCTTTGTCTCTTGCTAGTTTTTCGATTTCCCTGAAACAGTCAAAATGCATTTAGGTTACATGTTTTCCTCTTGCTTTAGTGGAAACCAGAGTTGACTAGAGTAGAGCTCTCTGGATGTAATGCTATTTCTCTTATTTATTTTTTGAGTGATTAGAAAACTGAAATTCATGTTTAAACTTCTCTTGCTGCTAATGTGAATTTAGAATTACTGGAAATCGTATTTGACACAACTAATTTTAGTACTTGACAGTGAAGTGTACAGACGAGGACAAACCCAGTTCTTGTTTTTCTCCATCACTACAGATTCAGCAGTTAACTGAGACGCTAGATAGTGTATCAAATGAAAAAGACCGGCTATTGGCTGAGAGAACTAGTCATTCTTGTCAGCTTAAAGAACAAATGTCATCCGCTACTGAAGAAAAAGATGAGCTACAAAAACTTCTTCAGGACATCAGGTCTGAACGGGACCAGCTCAGCATGGAATTGCAAAAAACCTCTGAGATGGTTGGTGTTGCAAATTGCATACCTAAGATAGGAATAATTTATCTTCTTGAATGGTACTTAAAATATGCATGTATTTATTTTAGTATATTGAAACGAGTGCTGAACTGGAATGTGCTCTAAGTAAACTGAAGGAGAGAAGCCTGAGCGACGTGTCTGTTCAAGTGGATGCACTGGATAACGCAGAACAGATGGATGATGACAGCCTGAAGGCAAAAACCATGCGAATTAAGGTAAACGACCCTGTTTATGTAAGGGTACACATTAAAACTTAGTACCACTTGTTCCAGAGCATAAACCTTGCTTCTACGCATCATGTGCTAATGGGATTGCATCTCTTGCTAAGATACTACACACCACGGGATTGGTTGGTTTGTGGTTGCTCTTCGGTGACAGTGCAGCCTGTCCTGGGAAAGTTAAACTGAACTTCTCAATTGAGACATCTTGCTTGATTTACTGTCCAGTCACCTATATCACCTATTTTTATTTGGAGCTGCTTCCCTGTTTTGTTTTTCAAAATCCCTCAAGTTCTCTCTTCGGTGCATCCCACCCCCAAAAGTAAATTGATTTCCATTAAATTGGTTTCACTAAATAGCTTCTCTCATCAAAAGTAAGAAGTTCCTGTAATTCTTTGTTAATTAACAGTCCTGAGTATGTTTTCTCACAAATGCAAGAGCCACTACTAAACTACCAAAAGCCTAAATAAACCAGCTTTATGGAGGTATGAAATACTTCAGAGGTTGCCATCGTATTCACTGCAGTCTGCACAGTCTGTGCAGCACGATCAGACATCATTCTGTACCTGCCAGAAGCACGCTGAGGGCTGCTTCAGTCATCACCAGGAGTGATGAAGAAAGGAACGAAAGTGAGAAATCAGCCACGTAGCTTTCTCCATTCACACTGTTTCTGTGCTATACCAGCAGTACGAACTAATAATGAGGGAAGTAAAAAAAACAAAACAAAAAAAACCTGCTGATAACCTTTTAATTGTAGTCTCCCCTTCTGACTTGTAGCTGGGAGCTTTCCTAGTGGTCACTAGAGAGCTCCTACCTCTTTCACAGGTGGAAACAAGGAGTCTGAAACTCCTTTAGGGGAGGGGGAAAAAAAACTTGAATTACACTGCTAAACCTATGTTAGCACAGCCTCTCTCGCTACCTTGTTAGTGTTTGTGGATGTGTGTGCAGGTACCAGTACAAAAAAAAAAAAAAAGGAATCTTTGGTTATGGGAATATATGCTAGGAAGTTTAACTACCCTGGGGGAGTTTCTTCTGTAAAATGTTACTGTTGCCACAGAAGTCATCGCGATGGTACTCTGAGCCTAGCCACCCATGGCTATTGAAAACATTCTGGGCTGCTGTATAAAAGCTTTCTTTCCTTTTAATGTTGACAAAGCACACGTTACTTCAGTGCACAAGATGGGGGGAAAAACAGGTATTGTAATGAGAGAGCTCTTGTCTGTTTCTGGTGCAGGTGCTCCTGGCCAATGAATTTAGGCTGTTACATGTGCCTTAAAGTGTAATCTAGCTTCATGTATCTCATCTGAGCTGCAGTTCACTAGGAGTGCCTCGAAGCTAGTTTGGCCTACGTGGCCTGCTCATGACTTGCACAAAAGGACCCAGGAGACCAACTCAAAGCCCGTTCTGAGGGCAGTCCCGGTGGCGAACTTGTGAACAGGCAACAAATTTCATTTCAGGCCCAGCTTTAGTGCTTTTGTCATGCTCCTGTGGCAAGTCAAAACTTGAAGGTCTAGTCCTATTAGCTTTTTTCTTTTTTGTAAAACCAAAACATTCTGTGGGGGTTAACCTGGAATCTGATGTAAAGCTGCTGGTCGTAGCTAATGACTCTCTTTCTTTATTGTGACTGAATTTACTTAATTTGTATTTAGGAGCTTCTGGAGCTATTCCCAAGTGTGGAGAAGAGGTATGAGTGTCTCTACCATTATGTCTCGTAGTAAGGAGAGGATCTGAATAGCCAGAAAGCAGTGATAGCTGCGATACTGACTCAGCTTTCACCAGAACAAAATAAGCAAGTCAAAAGACTCCAAATGGAAAATGAGAAAATCAACACTCATTTCCAGCGTTTATTGGACAGACTCAAGGTACCGACTTAAAATGCTGAATATGTGGATGCTTCACGTTGCTTTGTTTCACGCTTTCTTTTTCCAATAAGCTCTCAGTACTAACAGCGAGGACTCTGTATATATGCTCAAGCTTTGGGTTTTGTTTTCTGTAAGTCATGCATTCACGAAGCCCGTTACAATCCTGGAAAACTGGAGCTATTTAGATAAGCTAACCTTAATTTTTGACTATAGTTCAGCTGCTTTGCACAGCAACATTTCATTAGTGTTAATCCACTTCCATTGGTGTGAAAAGAAGTACTCTGTGGTCTGTAAATGAAATTATGGACCCCTGAGTACATATTTCATCGGAGAGGAAGGATGTGCAAGATGCCTTGGGGGAGCATGTTTGTTCTGAAAAGTTGCCAAGCTAGTTTAACTTCTATGGTCTTGCAGACCTTCCCCAATCTGTAGTTGAGTGGAGAAACAAATTCCAATTATCAGGAAAAATTGAGGTTGAGAGAGAATTTGTGTGCATTAACAGAAGCACATCCAACTAGATAGTATTTTTTGTTTGTTTCAGTTTCTTTATTTACCGTGAATGTTTAGGTTGGGAGGGTGGGGGTGTGGAACAATGATGGGGGGACAATTCTGGCAATAAAAATATCAAATAGCTGTATTTTAGTATTACCTATTAACTAAAAATGTTAACAAATATTCTTAAGAACGTGATCTCCCAACTTCATGTAGACTATTTAATGTTTTTCTTCTTTCAAGAGATGTTTTTCAACTTTTATGCTCGAGATGTTTAGGCTTGAAGATTAGATTTACTCGGCTAGAGTAAGGCTTTAAATTAGCACAGTGATACTCTATGCCTTTAACAACTCTAGGATGAAATCAGCATAACAAAACTACTTTGAAAACCAAAGTCTAGATACGTAGAAGGCTGTCTTAGCCTTTTAAGCTCATTTTTGTGGACTCCTTGAAAAAAGAAAATGCCGACCCAGCTGAAAGTCTCCCATGCCATTGCTATAGGACACGAGAACGTAGCTTTCGTAGTCATGTTTCAGTTGTCCTAAACATCTATTCGCTAGGAGAACAAATAGACTGAATTATAAAATCTGGAATTTGAGCTGGGTGCAAGGTAGCGTTCTGAAGCTTACTCACTGATATGTCCTGTGCTTCTACGACAGTTCCAATTCCGTCATCTTTGCTCCAAGAAAATGGAGTATCATGCTACTGTGAACAAGTATGCAATGGAATTGCTTGAGGAAAAGAGAAAACAAGATCAGCTGCAAGCTCAAATTCGGTGTCTCAAGGAGTTTCATTTGAACCAGAAGGAAATACCTGCTCGAGTGGTAAACAGTCGGCGAAGTGCTGCAGAGTTTGCATTCGGATGCAGAGGTAGCGGTTGAAACAACTTTTCAGACAGGCTTGTTTATTTTGAGACAGGGTGTAATGTGGTTGTGCTAGCGTGATGGGCATTGTTTTTATCTGTTTAAACTCAATGCGGTGAGGGGAACACAGAATTCACGTATATTTAATGCTACCAGTTCCGTAAAATGATTTCTCTGTTTCATAAAGCGTTTCTAACTGACTTGCCCTTAAGAATCCATACTACCTGACCCTAAGATGATTTTTGAAGCAATTTGATAACTTTTTCTCCTTTCACCTTCCCACCTATCCCCAGGAATGTGGATTGTTTTCTAATTTTCCCAGTAAGGTACAGCAAAACTCACTTTAGCTTAGCAAATATGCTATAATTAGGTGTTAAAACAGACTTACTGTAAGTGTGGATACCTAAGGGGGCAAAATTTATATTAAACGTGTAGTTATCAAGGCAATGCTTAAACTTGGTCTCTTCTTTATACAGAATATTATCAAAGACATAGCAGAAATGGAAAGTGAACTTCTCAGCATAGAGGCAGAGTTACAGAAGGAAGAAAGTGCTGGAAAAGAAACAGCACGGTTCTGGGAAGCTTGTTCAGGACTCCACTGTGATGCAGAAGAACTTAAAGAAGCGCTAAGAAAAGACAATGAAAGGCTTTTACAAGTCATTAAGTTCTGGACTGCAAAAGTGAAGGTAAATGAACTTAATGAATAAGAAATAAGTTTTGTGTAAGCACTCTGCAAGTACCTCTGTAACCTGGTTGAAAACAGACACAAAAAGCTAGTTTAAAGTTTACTCGTTTAATTATTTTCAGTTTATCCAACAGCACTGGCTATAGGTGTATTTATCTGTAAAATGTAGGAATACCTGGAAGATTTTTACAGGCTTTCTTCCTCCTACATTCAAACTTGGAAACTTGTGTTTAAAAAGACTTTCGGGGAGACAGCTTTCTGTGTGTATGTGGTGGTGTTTTTCTGTGTGGTTTTCTTGAAGAGAATGAATCTTAGAGACTGTAGGTTCATAACTGTTACTACAACCTTCCTTGTAGAACTTGGCAGCCTGATGCAGTCACATTCTGCGGGCTTTCTGCCTACAAGATTCTGTTCTTTTCAAACCACCTTTAAAATGGCTGAAGTGTTTTTTGTTTGTTTGTTTTTTGTTTTTTTTTGTTGTTGTTTTTGTTTGTTGATAAAGCTTAATTGTAATTGACATTCTCACACCTTTTCTACCTTCAGAAAGCTCAATTATCCTAGAGGTCTTTCAGCTGTGCTTTCCCTCTTCTTTCTTCCTCCTACCACCCACAACTGGGAAAAAGTCTGTTCTGCTGTCTGAGGTGAATCATGAAGAGCATTTCATGAGATGACATCTTTTAATAAGCACATCGGAGACCTCTTGGAAGACAGGCTGTGGGAGGGACTCCTCTACCTTCTGACTAGTTCTTAACAGCAGTCGTCTTGACTTCCAGCATAGGCTTGTTACTAGGCTGTTCGTGCTGTTCTTTCGGCTAGATTACGAAGAGCTCGTCATCCTTCTGCACATGTTGTGCTTCACTCAGCCTATTGACAAAGAGTTAAGCTGCTTCTGTAGAATTATTTGTCAGCCTTGACTTCTACTGGATTTCCCAATGCTGACAGGCTCTTAGGAAGAATTCTTTGATAGACATTCTGTGAATCAAAGCTTTTACAACAAAAACAGCCTTCTCTTCTCTGTGCTAAACAACCTGAGGTCTCTCAACCCGTCTTCATAGGAGAGGTACTCCAGCGCTCTGATCATTTGAGTGTCAGTAATTCCATTTTTGGTAATAACTGTCTTCAAATGTGCAACGGAGTTCAGAATGTGAAATTAATACAGGCTAAGAAACTTCCTGATTTTTCACTTATTTCTAGCTGGTTCCAAAATTTAATCTGTTCCTCATTACTGATTTTTCAGACATTCTCTCCACTGAATTCAGAGTTGAATGACAGAACTTCCAACTACTGCAAAAATGCTGATGCTGAATATAAACGGACAAAAGAGAAGACTGAAGAGTTGCTTCAGGAACTAAACACCCTTAAGGAACAACTGGCCCCTGGTGGCTCTGCTCATCTTCTGCTAGAAGAAGAAAACAACAGACTTCATAACCGCTTAAAGGCTGCAGAACAAGATAAAAAGGTGCAAATATTTTTCTAAAGAAAACCTACTTTATGATTATTTTCTAAGTGAGAGTACTTTCAACTGAAAAGAAAATGAAGATTGATGACTGTTAATCTGTCACACGATACACTGGCCCACAATGGACTTCTTTTGGTAGATTTCTTTTTTTTCCAAAAGTGGAAGTTTGAGCTCTGCCTGTGATGTGATTTAACGGTCAGTTTTCTGTGCACACACACGCACAGATGTTAGTTTATAAATCTCCGTAAACGCACCCAGTCATTTCCGAAGTATAGGTTCCAGTAGTGTGATATTCATTAACTATATAGCAGTCTCTGTGTCAGACTGGAAGCTGGATAAAAACTGTCATGACTCGTAGGGGTTGCACTCATTTGCCCTCTGTCCATACTTCTGATGTCACAGTTACTTGTGTTCAAAGCATGTTTTTTTAGAGTTGAATGTCCCAGAACAGTAACAGATGAAACAGAACAATGCTATAGACTGTATAGGAATTCCTGTTTTGTTTGTTTTGTTTTGATAAAGAATATCCCCCTGTGCTGTGCAGTGACATAGTTATAACTCTTGGTTTGGTGTTACTGCTCATAAGTGGCTGGTATATCCCAACAGGCTATGGAAGTAAAAATCCAAAAGTTGGAAAACATAGTAAAGGAAGCGGAAAAAAATGTCAGAGAAAAAGATGACAGGATTAATCAGTTACAAGCACAGATGAGAGTAAAAGCAGCTATGAGTGAGCTCACCCAGCTGGAAGCCAAACTGAATGAGACAGAGAAATGCCTCAGCACTGTCCTAGCAGAAAATCGGAGTCTCCAGGTAGGAGTCCAATTATTTTCTAGTTTCATTCTTACAGCAAGGGAAGCAGAGAGCGCTGTAAAGTCAATTTGTAGTTCCGTGTGGTTTTCTTAGAGAAAAGCACTCTGCTCACGTGTTGTAGCGTGCTGTTTCACGTGCTACCAGTGCTGCTTTCAGAGACAAAATTTAGAACCCATGTTAGGGTATTAGAAGCTAAACTTATTGCTTCTGATATATTGCTGAAACATTCTTAAACTTCAAAGTTTTGAAACTGAAGCATGGGCTGTTTTTTTCTGCATAATCTATTGGCATGCTAGTTCAGGATTCCCAGATTACATCTGCAAGCAAGTCAGCAAAACTTGCTGAAAATGGGAGTGCGTTCATTATACCAGAGTTCAGATGGCAACTGGTCCTATGGTACTGGTTAGTGATCTGGGCATTCTTAGCCCAGAATGACTTCCTGCTTCCAGCTCTGTCCTGTAACTTCTGGCAGATTGCAGTAAAAGTGCAAAGCAAGCAGTCCCCGTATTCGGTGCTAGCTTAGCAATCCTTTCTTCATAGTAGGTGTCTTGTTTTATTTTCAGGAAAAATTAAATAAAGGTGCCGAGTTGTACAAAGAAGAAATTGATAATCTCAAAACACAGTTGGTAAGATATGACCTGGACAGAATGAAGCAATCAAAGATTTTTGATATGCAGTAAGTTCAAGTGTTTGTTTGGTTTGTTTGTAACTGGTAGCTCTTCCCTAACCCCCACACCCCAATGGAGAGAAAGGATGCACACAGAATAATTTAATAATAATAATTTACCTTCTGCTTTTCTGTACTTCACCTGAAATCTAACTGACAGCCAGATGTAGTTTGTTTTGTTTTGCTTCAAATACATTTGTATTTGTTAATACACATGAAAATCAAACTAAGTCTCTTGCAACTTTAATAATTGAGCTTAAATTTTTTCTGTTTCCCTCTCCCTGCCCACCAATGCAGACTTGCTAATTATAAAGCTGTTGCAGAACACCAAGAAGAACAGTTAAGAAAGCTAAAAGAAGAACTCAGAAGAGCACAGCAAGATCAAGACGTTACTGGTAAATTCCGGATCAATAGAAGGGATTGTTTCATATTAAACATCTGTTTTTAAGGTTGTGTGGTTAAATTCTAGGCTTCGATGCAGGCCTTTTACCTCAAAAGGCCTATGAGAGGGGTTGGATGCTTTGGAAGAGGTGGAAGGCTGAAACACGGTAGCTGCACATAGGCTGTATTAGAATCACAGCAGTTCTTGTCTGGTTTCGTTTGTTATTTCTTGGATTGTGGTTGCTGTTGTGGTGGGTTACGTTCCCATCTCTAGTTCTCTGGCTCTAATCAGGATATAACTAATCACATAAACTTCTTAATATCTCCCTGGCAGTGTGATTACTGATGGTGGGTTTAAGAAAGAGCTGTTGTAATGATACTTCGAACCTAGTGAGGTTTTACATACAAGGCTATGGGAAGGAATTTTGCATAAGCATGGCTAAGATAAATATTGACGTGGTTTTAAAGCCCTGACCAAGTAACACGTGCTTTTGTATAAAACTATTTTCTAGTGGTGTCTAAAGAAACTCCTCAGCAATACCAAAAGCCCCTTACTTGTGGTGGTGGCAGTGGTATAGTTCAGAGCACACACGTGCTTGTTTTAAAATCTGAACAAGCGAAGCTACAGAAAGAGAACTTGCAGCTGAAGAAACAAAGTTGATGATCTACTAAGGTAAGCATAAAGATAATAAGCGCCACTGTTAACTAAGTCATTTCTCTTTAACCTATGCTGTTACAGTTTCTTTCCTGGACATCTGTAGAAGTGAAGAAGTTTTGATTGGAAGATGTGAAAGAGTCTAGCAAATCTAAACTTCTAAAGGTGGTGATGTATGCATGTATACTTCTGGATGGCTTTGAAGCTTTAAATCATTTGTCTTTTTTTTCCATGAGAATGGAATTTTAAATGCTTTTTATCAATACCTGGAAAACACGTTTTGTTTGGATCTCTTTAGCTTTTGGGAAGCAAAAAAGAAAATGATGCCTCCAAAACTAAGAATACACGTTTGGTCATGGTAGGGGGCTTGCATTGCCATGTCTGTGGTATGTCAAGGGAATTGTCATACAGGAACATGCAGGAACTGTCTTGTCAGGCATTTTTCTTGACTTAAAAGAGTTGTTTAATGTTTTCTGTAACTAAATGCTGGTGATTTTTTTTTCCCTGTTCAGTAATGAGGCTCAATTGAAAGACGAACTTAGAAAATGGAAAGAGAGAGCGCTAAAATTGAAAGAAAAATCTTCGAGAGAGACTACTCGAGAGACAGCACCAAGGTCTCCAGGGAAGAAAGTGTCAGATTCCCTTAAAGAGCAAATTCCATCCTTCAAAGAGCCTCCTTCTCAGGAAACGGTGACTCCAGATGCATCAAGGCCTCTGCAACTGTCGCCTCCAACAAATATCTTTGATACTTCCAATTTAGGTACGCTAACAGGTATGTAATGTGGTGTCTGATTAAGATTGGGAGAGGCAAAATATAAGGAGGAGTCTTCAAGTAAAAGTAGGTGTCCTGTGCTTCCTGCATTCAGTCCCAAAGCTCTCACGGAAACTGTTCTTGAATGCCTTGTTAATACCTTGGTGGAAGGGCTGACCAGCTGGTGCCAAAAAGATTATATGTGCTGTACAGCACCCACATACTTGAAACATTCATGAAGATTAGGCAAACTTCATATTTCTTCTGTTGCAGTGAGAGTGTTGATGATCGATCACTTCAAAGTGACTGGGCAGAGTATTGTTCCTACCAGACAAATGATGCTATAACATCTTTTGCTTTCTGACGTTACCTGAGTTAAGTACCTGCTTCTGGCAAAACTGATTCTCACAGGTTGCTCAGTCATCTATTCAGAGTTAACTGATGGTTAACTTTTTTTTTCTAAATTTCTTTGAAGTGGTCGATTTTAGTCTTCGATGTGGAATCTCCTAGTCTGGCAGCTTCCAGCTGCAGTAACAGCTGCCCTAGTCAGGCTGTCTCTAATTGTGAAACTGGGAAAGCATTACTGTAATATTCTTGTCTTCTCTATAGATGTGCCACCTGCAGGAACAGAGCCCACAGAAGAACCTCTTAGCCAGTGGCTTGGAGCTTCAGAGAAAGATGAAGCCCCTGATTGTACTACCCAGTGAAGGTATTCTGTTGTAAGCTGCCTTTGCAGTGGTAACATCCAGAATCCGCCTCTATGGAAGACAGTTCCTTCGGGTTAAATCATCAGCTGTGGGAAGAGCTCTGGCAGCTGCAGTTCCCTTGTTGTCCTGGAGCTGCTGCTGCTTCCCCCAGCTGGCAAAGCTGCAGTACAAGAATAAAACTTAAAAAGCAGTCACGTTGCCTGCAACCTGCTGCTGATGTTCTTCTTTGGTTATCTTCAGGATAGCAAAAAAAGAAGAGCTAACATACTGAAGAAAAATGGACACAGGAATGAATCACGAGCTAAGCTACAGGTGAAGCTTCTCGAACTTCTCTGGCATTCCTGCAAGAGTCATCATCTGGGTGGCTTGTATCTTCAGTTCTTTCCAAATCAACATCTCTCTGTTCTCACTAGTTACTTTTTGTTTCTCAATATAGAAGTCTTATACTGTCTCTTTTTTTGAGACCATGGAAACTGCATTTTTACTACAACTTTAACCTCTGCATTGCGCACTTTCCCTTTTTAAGGCACAAAATAAATCAAGGACTTCTCTTAAACGCTATGCAATATGTCTGCAGCTCTGTCAATTATGGTGCCAGGAGTAACTTTGCATTTTGCATCATCTTTGAGCATACTTCTCTTTCCTGTTTGGAGTGTGACATCTGAATATTTTTTTCCAAGCAGTAACCAATGGATCTAATTGATGCTGCAGTTACTCTAGTGAGTGAAAAATAAATTGTAATTACGGCTGTATGGCAGACTGTTTTGCTATCCTGCTTACCTGAATTTTGAAACTTATTTTTACGTCCTGTATAAGGTTTGTTTTGACAATAAACTTTGTGTTAAGTATCTCAAAATATTTCTGCTGGCCTCTTCGGTTTTGTGGAGACATGATGGTATGATTTGGGGATGCTGATTATAATATTCAGTCTAAAACCAGTCTTTGATAGCAATCTTACCCCTTTCATCATTATTATGCTGCTTGTCTGTCTTACAGCTTTCTGCAGTCAGTTTGTGCAGCGAATTACTGTTGCACAAATCTGTGTCATCAGTGTTTGTTTAATTCTTTCTAACTGAATCTTTGCTCTATCAGGAAATGTTTGAAGTCTAGATAGAAGACAGATCCTTCCCTTCCTCCAAGCTAGAAGAAATTTGGCACTCAACACCTGAGATGAACTCCTTTAAGAATGAAATCATCATGAACCGTCAGTGTCATACTGAACAAAGACTTTTGTATCAAAAGTCTTGTCTTTATTTTATAGGAGTGAAGCTCTGAACGTTACCAGATCTCTTCCTAAGTACTTCATTTTGGGATAGCCAGACTAATAGGCAAATAATTTTGCGTCATTTTGCTGGATGCACTGCAGTTAGTGGGATTGGAAGAGTAACACAAGGGTTGTTTGCCTGACAGGGGTACTTCTGCAATCCGTACTGAAGACCCAACTATCTATTCACCTTGAATAGCCAAAAACTGCCAACTACTGCAACTACTAAGAAGTTGTGAACATTCATATTTCCAAAACTTTGTCATGGAAATCTTATAACAATTTCTAGCTAAAAATACACAAGTTCTAAATACTGTTGCTGAACTCAGCACTGCACTGTTTCCTTTCCTGTCACAGCCATAGATATGTAGGAATAATTCATTTTCCTGGCAGTGATAAATGCAAGTTGTCCCATTTTTTCTTTGCAATTTCCCATTATTATTGAACGATATTTCCTTTGGCTACCACACTTTTTTCACTTCTTTCATTCTGGTATTTTATTAAAAGAATACATTTTAAGCTGACTTTTTCCTTCCAGAAGAGAAAAGCAAGGTATCTACCTTTTTTTTTTTTTTTTTTTTCTTCACAGTTTCAGGATATTTATTAATTGCTTGCTAGAACATTTCTAGACTTAGTAGATTTTTCTGGTGGTTGAGCTGATAAGAGCTGTTGCAGTGTATTCCTGCTTGTGTCTGAATTCAGTTCAAGAGTGGCATAATGTGACCGAACGTGCCTGTGTGCGTGTCCAGGTTTACCCACAGAAATGTGCCCAGCTGGAGTTCAGGCAGCTTTCTGAATTCATTAAGAAAACTATTAGGGTGGCCTTGGATCTGGTGTGAGCTTATAATTCAATTTTGTCATAGAATTTTTGAGTCTCATGATGTTAACTGCCTTAACAGATCTAAGTTAAACACTGATATAAATTTAAGAACGGCTACTTTGGTAAATCTACAATTAAGAAATTATTTTTCAAGTATTGTCCTAGCTTAAAACTTGATGATTGATAAAGAGCAATTGCTTGGGGAAGAACATTGTTGTGGCCTTTTTTGGTGAGAATCCTGTTAATTTCTTGCATTCTTTGTGGGGGAACGGATAGCTAATGTTCATGATCCTCTTTTATTCCTAACCTGTGCAGGAGAAAATCCCACTTAAAATCTTGAGTTTCGCTAGATGGCAGCATCTTGGTTTTTCAACATGAAACTGCGTTGGTGTAGAGAAATTTACCAGTTAGACTACAATCCCAGCAAGCATACCAAAACAAATGAGCGTAAAACTTCCTTTTTCCAAAGGTCAGTAAACCGAACAAGCTGGTTGAGATCTTTTGGTGAGTGACTATACTAACCTTTATTTTTAAAAACTTCATAGAATTAGTGTGTCAAATATTCATTAAAAATGATTGTTAGGTTAAAAAAAAGCTTCCAAAATTATGTGGTGATCCAAGGAAGTGTTGAGGGATTTTTGAAACAGCAACGATCCCACGGCTTGCTGCAGCTGAGCAAACCAAGTTCCCATGACAGTGTTCCCACATCGCCCAATTGAGGAATTCAGAAAAATATTGTTGCCAGTAGTTGGCTTCAAGGACAGGGTCTATGTGACTGCTAATCACAAGGGGGTTGTTTTCTTGCAGGTGGGGTTGTTTTCTTGTAGTTGTTTGTCTGAGTGCTTTTGACCAATAATCTTGTGTGAGACACTATCCGCCCCTGTTAAGTTCACTAGAAAAGTCAGGCTATTCGAGTAATAAAATGGAGCATGATCTGCAACATATGGGGCCCGAACAGGCTGTGACCCGGACATGCTGAGAGATCTGACAGAAACAGAGAGGCTTCAGAGACACAGAGAGCCCTGAGAGAAGCTGAGAGACCCAACAGCCGCTGAGAGACCTGAGACACACGGAGAGACTTCGGAGGCACAGAGAGCGCTGAGAGATGCTTCAGAGACATGAACGGCTCTGAGAGACGTGGAGAGCCCTGGCAGAAGCCGGAACACCTGAGAGACATTGAGAAACTCCAGGCACTGACCCGGACACAGGACTTGTGGTGAGACACGGGGGGGGGGGTGGAGGGGGGGAAGGCAGGGAAACAAAGGAATGGTGGGGGGATGCGGGACATCCGAGATCAAGTTGCTACGGGAGACCAGAGGTGTCAGTGGACACCGGCAGCCGACCCTCACCGTGTAGCGAGTGGGCACATAGAGGGGCAGAGATCAGGACCCTGCAGCCTGTCTGGCGTGACCATGGAGGCAGCAGCGGCTGTGCTGCTTCTCTCTGGCACTCTGTTTACGAGAGGCATATCTTGCAATGCAAAAAAGACTGTTTGTCCCCAGATCAGTGTTATAACTATGCTCCTGGATAACATTCCGTGGGGTTGCCACATTGTGCGGATTGCTAACGGTGACTTAGTTCTATTACTGCCTTTATTGCGGGGCAGGAGTGCAGAGCCACGGATTACACTACCAAATGCCCACGGGCAGGCTCTGTCACAAACAGCTTCTAAGGTTGCAGCCAGCACTGCCTGTAGCCGTATAGCAGATGTTACAATCTCTTTCCTAACTAGTAATCATGTGTCTCATCCATTTGTGGTGAATGGTCAGTGGCAAAAAGAAAAGGGGGAGAGTAAGGAGCGACAAAGACAGAAACGGTACCAGGAGGATGCCACTGACATCAACAGCATGGGTAATAGGAGTAGTGTAAGTGACACAGGTGATGGCAAGGGTGGAATGATAGGGCAGCATTTTCGAGTTCTGGAATGGATTTTCCTACAGATTCAGCCTAAAATGAGTGTTCCATTTTCTCCCACAGGCCAAGTGATGGTTGAACAATCACATCAGGTTTTAAAGGAACAATTAGTGAGACTAAAAGAGATCAGGAACATCGATGAACGATTGTCTGAGGCATTGGGTGTCTTGAATCACTTATGTTTGACTAGGGACTGAGAAGACCCTCCTGCAAGTATTCATTTTCAAAGAATAAATAGAGCAGCACCAAATGTGTTACCACGAATAAGAATGAATTACCGAGATCCTGCTACAGGAACCTGGAAAGGGCCATACGGGTACAGAAATACAAATAACACCTGTGATTACAATGACACTGCTAGGCAGGGTTTAGGGGCTTATGGCACGGAGGGAAGGGGTAACAACTACAGTGTTTGTAACAATTGTACAGCTTTGGCCTTACCTCCTGATGTTTTTCTGATTTGAGGGGATAGGGCCTGGCAAGGTATCCCTGCAAATGCTATTGGAAGTCCATGTTACTTAGATAAACTCATTGTATTTGCTCCTAGCTTGTTACAGTTGTGTGAGGTCACCAGACATAAATGGGCGTTGCTTGCACCGGATTGCAATGATAATGTTGAATTGCTTGGTGTTACAGCTAGAGCGGCATTGGCAATTTTAGTGCCAGAAGTGGCATCTGTGGCCGCAATTAAGAACTTAGAAAAATTGGTATGCTGGGCTGAGAAGCAAGCCCATGCCCCGACAGAGATACTCGAGGAGATGTTACCAGATCAAAATAGTCTGCAACATGTGCTTTTACAGGATTGTAAAATTGACATCTTGCTTTTGGCTCAAAGCCATGGGGGGGAGGACTCCAAGCGAATGTGCTGTTTAAACCTTTTTGATCATAATGAGTCAATTCACAAATCCATTACTTTCCTGAAACAGCACATGAGAAAGATTCAATATGGTATCAATCCTTTCAATCAATGGTTCACTGATTTGTTTGAAACGATGCATAGATAGTTACTGGGATTAGTCAAAGAGGGATTAAGGATTCTGTTTGTGGTAGTGTCAATCATCACTATGTGTTGTATTGTGATAAAAGTGGTTATAGGGTTACTAGCAAAACTGTTACATCAGGCTTGGTTTGCTCAAAGAAGAAGAAGAGAAAAAAAAGGGGGGGAATTGTTGAGGGATTTTTCGAAACAGCAAAAATCCCATGGCTTGCTACAAGTCTTTTGCTGTCCATTTCTGTCAGAATCACAGAATTTCTAGGTTGGAAGAGACCTCAAGATCATCGAGTCCAACCTCTAACCTAATGCTAACAGTCCCCACTAAACTATATCCCTAAGCTCTACATCTAAACGTCTTTTAAAGACTTCCAGGGATGGTGACTCCACCACCTTCCTGGGCAGCCTGTTCCAATGCCTCACAACCCTTTCAGTAAAGAAGTTCTTCCTAACATCCAGCCTAAAACTCCCCTGGCACAACTTTAGCCCATTCCCCCTCGTCCTGGAGGGATTAAAGCCCTCTCAATGAGCCCTGCCAGCTCCTGGCCCAGGATCCTTTTTCCCCTAAAAGATAGGGACCCATCTGCGGCTATCAGGCCGGGTGCCGAGTAAAGTGCCCTATGGTCGAAAAACCCAAGATTTCTGCGTTGGCACCAGCCCCTGAGCCATGTGTTTAACAGGTGGGCTTTCCGTGTCCTCTCTGTACCCCTCCCTGTCACCGTAGGGATGGATGAAAACACCACCTGTACTCCTGCTCCATCCACTAACCGTCCTAGCCCCCTAAAGTCTTGTTTGATAGCCTTCAGGCTTCTGTCTTCAATGTCGTCACTGCCCACCTGGACTATCAAAAGAGGATAATAATCAGAGGGGCGTACCAGGTTGGGAAGCTTCCTGGCAACGTCCCTGACCCTGGCCCCAGGGAGGCAGCAGACTTCCCTACGGGTAGGGTCAGGCCGACAAATAGGGCCCTCTGTTCCCCTAAGGATAGAGTCTCCCAAAACAATAACCCTTCTGTCTTTCTTGATGGAGGCAGTCCTGAGGCGTGGAGTCGACCTCCTTGCCCTAGGCATCCTCCGAGGAACACTTGCTACCTCTTCCTCACCCACCGGTCTCTCGAGCTCCAGGGCCTCAAACCTGTTGCGTAAGGGCACCTGGGAAGGTGGGGCTGGAAGGGGAGGGCATCGCCTGCGATGTCGAGCAGGGACCTGTCTCCATTCCTCCTCAACTCCCAGATCCCCCCCCTCTGCCCGACAGCGACAGGGCAGGGGGTCCACCCCCATTTGGGGTGTCTTACCCTAGTACCTCTCCTTGAGGCCCTGCAAGGAGTTGCTCCACCAGTCTATCTCCCGCTCACACTCCCTGATAGCCCTCAACCTCTCCACCTCCTCCTTGAGCTCTGCCACCATGCGGATCAGGTCATCCACCTGCTCGCACCTCACGCACACAGTTTCTCTGCCTCCTGCCAATGGCAGCAACAGGCTCAGACACTCCTTGCATCCGGTGGCCTGAACTGCTGCATTTTTTAACAGGTAGTCGGTCTGGGTGTGTACCGACTTCCTGGAGAGCGCACCGTGCCTGGCGGAGACCATTGCAGCCTAGCTAATGGCTGTCGGTAAGGAGGTGTTTGTATGGGTGGGGGGAGTGCTCTGCCCTTCCCTCGCGCCCTGCCTGCTCGCCCTGCCTGCGCAAACGCGTCTGCCCTGGAGCCAATTGCCTCGGCAAATGTTGATTTGGAAAGAACTGAAGATACAAGCCACCCAGACGAGGACTCTTGCAGGAATGCCAGAGAAGTTCGAGAAGCTTCACCGTAGCTTAGTTCGTGATTCATTCCTGTGTCCATTTTTCTTCAGTATGCTCCTCTGCCAGTTCTCTCAGTACCCTTGGGTGGATCCCATCCGGCCCCATCGACTTGTGCACATGGTACTTTTACGTACCATTCAAGAAGATAAATTATTCCTAACTTAGGTATGCAATTTGCAACACCAACCATCTCAGAGGATTTTTGCAATTCCATCTTGAGCTGGTCCCGCTCAGACCTGGTATCCTGAAGAAGTTTTTGTAGCTCATCTTTTTCTTCAGTAGTGGATGAGATTTGTTCTTTAAGTTGAAAAGAATGACTAGTTCTTTCAGCCAATAGCTGGTCTTTTTCACTTGATACACTATTTAGCGTCTCAGTTAACTGTTGAACCCTTAGTGATGGAGAAAAACAAGAACTGCGTTTGTCCTCGTCTGTACACTTCACTGTCAAGTACTAAAATTAGTTGTGTCAAATACGATTTCCAGTAATTCTAGAATTCACATTAGCAGCAAGAGAAGTTTAAACATGAATTTCAGTTTTCTAATCACTCAAAGAATAAATAAGAGAAATAGCATTACATCCAGAGAGCTCTACTCTTGTCAACTCTGGTTGAGGAGTGAGGAACAGCCTTGCAGGCGCCAAGGTCAGTGCAGAAGGAGGGGGAGAGGTGCTCCAGACACCGGAGCAGGATGTCCCCCTGCAGCCCGTGGAGGAGCCCACGGTGGAGCAGGTGGCCCTGCACCGACGGAGGCTGTGGCCTGTGGAAGACCCCTGCCGGAGCAGATTCCAGGCCGGACCTGTAGCCCGTGGAGAGGGGCCCACGCAGGAGCAGGTGACCTGGCAGGAGCTGCTGCCCGTAGGGGAGCCAGGTTGGAGCAGTTTTCTCCTGAGGGATGGACCCTGTGGTACGGACCCATATCTGGAGCAGTTCTGGAAGAGCTGCTGCCTGTGGGAAGCCCACACCGGATCAGTTCATCAAGGACTGCATCCCATGGGAGGGACCCCACAGCACAGGGGACGAGAGTGACCGAGAAGGAGCGGCAGAGAAGAAGCGCTGTAGACTGACCATAACCCCCATTCCCCTGTTCCCCTGCGCCACTCGGGGGGAGGAGGTGGAAGAGGGTGGATGGGGGGGGGAAAAGGTTTCTTTCCTTTGTTTCTCACTTCTCTAGCTTGTTAGTAATAAGCAATAAATCTTACTGTCTCCCTATGCAGAGTCTGTTTTGCCCGTTAAAATAATTCCTGTGTGATCTTCTAGTCCTTATCTCAACCTTTGAGCCCTTTTCATCATATTTTCTCCCCGTTCCTCTTTGAGGAGGGGGAGTGAGAGAGTGCTTGTGGTGGAGCTCGGATGCACACTTGAGCGGAACCACAACAGGCAGAAAAGTGTGCTTAAGCAAAACCACACCTAATTATTTCTCAATATAAAGATCTAGAGAGCACCAAAAGGAAGACAATCCTGCCTAAAGCTCATCTCTAGTTCATTTACCCTCTCTTCTTGTAGAAGCTGTCTAAAATGTTGTCGAACTGCCAAAAAGCTCTAGCTAGCCAAACTAGTACAACAATGTGACTGAGAGAACACACGGAGTACAAAATAACCACATTTCATGTCCCAAGTGCAGAGGACCTTTAGAAGGTTCCAGTGACTAAAGACCCCTGCCCGTCACGTTTTTCCCCCCACCCCAAGCCATCAATATTAAAGTCTAGAGTCAGAATGATGCTTGACAACAGGCAAGAAGGTTTACCTGAAGAGTACTGAGTGTTTCATCAAAAGACACAGGAGTGATTGTACAAATAATAACCGTCTTAGCATTTCCTCCAAGAGAGTTCTGTAGAATTCGAGTCAGCTTGCTGTCACGGTAATTTATGAAACTGAGGGGAAAGTAAGAAAACAGATTTAAAAAGTCATTTTTCTATGAAAAAACAGTATTGTCTTAAGGTGACAGAACATTTAGGAGAGCCATATAGAATACTATTTGATGTCTAAAGAGATTTAACTTCTTAATTTATCAGTGACTTGTCCAAAAAGAGGTATGTCAACACAAGCACTTACCCAGAAGGGTCGTCACAAAGCTTTTTGATAACTTGGCCCAGAATGAACAAACTCCGATTTATATTGCAGCCTTCTTTCAGTCGGAGACCTAGGTATTACACAGCATTTTCTTTCTTGAAGATGTATCTAAATGTTGTTTTATTCAACATGTCAAGGTGTTGTGTTATGCTCAGAGGGATTGTCCAGAGTTAAATCGCCAGTACCAAAATGCACTGTGACACATCAGCACCCAGTATCAAGTCTTTTAGAATAACCCAAATGAATCAAAGTCCATCACAAATGAGCATTAATAATCTTCACTTAGTAGGTAGTCAGGGCCAGAGGAATGTGAATTTCATTTACAAAGTTTATGTTGTATTTAGACACGCAATTAAAATTGGCACTTGCAGAAAAAAAAAAAAATAATTACTTGGCTTTAAATACTTTTGTAGACCCTAAGGTATTCTGCAACTCAGAGGAGCAGTGAACATTTCACATAACCAATATTGATAACCCAAAATACTCAAGGCAGAAGCAAATCAGGTTGGATGTTAGGAAGAACTTCTTTACCGAAAGGGTTGTTAGACATTGGAATGGGCTGCACAGGGAAGTGGTGGAGTCAGCATCCCTGGAAGTCTTTAAAAGACACTTAGATGTAGAGCTTAGGGATATGGTTTAGTGGGGACTGTTAGCGTTAGGTCAGAGGTTGGACTCGATGATCTTGAGGTCTCTTCCAACCTAGAAATCCTGTGATTCTGTGAAATACTCTGCAAATAACATTTCAGTTTGTACTTTCTCCTTACTTCCTACCACATAACAGGATTTGGGCCCCTGGAGTGCTGCAATGAGTTGCACAGAAGCCTTCCCAACTTAACAGTGAGGACACAATACATATTTGGCTATCTGATGATATGCTATGCGATATCAATCCAGCTGGATCTCATGCATGTCCATACAGATGACAGCCGGACAAGAACCAGACATAGCACAGCCACTTCACCTTCTCAGAAGAACCAACAGCCTTGTACATTCAAAGTCCAGGGTTAACGACAGCTGTCTCTAGTGGACTCAAACTACCCAAAAGCCATAAGGAGCAGCTTTGTCACCTGAAGTCAGTGCCTTACATACTGCTCCTGATATGCTCACATCAATCTGCTAGTCCATTCCCCAGCACGGAGGGCTTCAGTGTCCTACGCTTAGGCAGCCAGTGTCCTATGTCCTGGGTGCAGACCCAGTGAATCCTTTCTAGCAGGCTTATCCCATGTTATACCTAGATTCCCAGACAACTCTCGAACTATTAGCATTGACCAGTCTGGCTTACGATTCTTTTGAAAGCCTCAAGTAAGTTCAATATTCTTCCCGCTTAAAAAAAAAAGTCATTAATATTGTTAGTATTTTGAAGCTCAATTTTAAAATAGAAAAACAAAGAAGAAAGCTGCACATCACCTTGCCTAAGCTTGTAATTCAAGCATAATATATTGGCAAGCTTAAAAGCAATTGTTTTGTTACTGATTTGATTCCAACTATTTCACATTTTTGTACTTTTTAAAACCAATGGCATCTCTGCAAGCTTAGCAAAGTGAGTGCAACATATCCTCCAATATAAACTGTTTCTTTTCTTCACAAACTCCTTAATGCTAGAATTAGTTGTCCTTTAACATTCAAAAATATTGGTAGTCCTTTCAGTCACCTCCATTTCATGGAGTTACTCACCTCACAAATAAGTTTGAAGACATGTTGGACTGCCTTAGGAATAACGCCTACACAATCTTCGTTCCCCATCATGGTGTACGTCTTCCCTGAGGAGGTCTGTCCATAAGCAAAGATGGTGCCTAGGAAGATGATTAAGTCTTACCGACTATTTCCAAACTGCATTACAAATAGGATTAAAACACAGTTGTACAACCTACCGTTGTATCCTTGCACGGCTGATTGTATAATTGGAACAGCTACACCTTCGTATAATTGCTGTGTGTTGTCACTTGAGTGAAAGACACGATCTTAAAGAAAAAAAAAAAGAAAAAAAGCACTTAAGAACATTGCACTGCAAATCAGAAACAAGCCGTCATCTTATTCAGCAATGATGACTTCAAGTATTGTATCATGGACAGGGTCTTTACAGGATGATTTAAACATAAAACACAGTTGTGTCATTACTGTGCCAGCCTTCAGGAACAAAAGATTAAAGTCAACACCAAAAGTGATGATGCAAAGACAACAGAGCCTCAAAGAAACTAAGAATGACAGATGCAGTCGTCCCATTGAACCCTAAAAACGGTTAAGGCTGATCTATGTATCAGGACTGTAAGCCTGACAAGACTTGGAAAAATCGTGTCTGGAGGCAGGTACGGTGGAGCAGCAGGAAGATGCTGAAAGCAAAAGGATCTCACGTGCACGGCATCCCAAGGCTCTGGGCTCATCCCAATGCTCTGGGCTCAGCGCAGCCACTTATCACTGAAATGGGAGCACTACAGAGGGCATCTGCCACCTCGCTTCCAGATCAACAGCGCCCAGCTCCTGCGCTCCAAAAACACCCCGCAGTGCAGCCCAGCACAGGAACAGGCACCGAGAGCAGGACGTTGGTTCCCCAAGGAGAATTCCTGGTCAGCACTGCCACACAAACACCACACCCGAAGCATTACGAGCCCGGGCACAACAACACGAGCCACGGGCAGCAGTGCCAGGACGCATTGCAGCCGCACATCCCGCAGGCCCGCGGCAGCCCCAGCTGCTCCTTCCCACACACTCACCGTAGCTGAAGGCTCGGGCACCGCTCACTTCTGAGACCGTGTTCCCCTCGCTCCTCCAGTGAGGCGCCGCCTCGTCCCCCAGAGCGCTCTCCCTACGAGACAAAGCCCCCCGCTAAGCTCACCAGCTCCACCCGCACCCGCACCCCCACGCCGCCCAGCCCCTCGCCCTCGCCCTCACCTGGCGAGGAGCGGCCGCAGCCGCACGCAGACGGTAACGGCCCCTTCGTCAGCCATCCCCGCGGCGCCTCAGGAGCCGCCTCAGGAGCCGCCTCAGGAGCCGCCTCAGGAGCCGCCTCAGGAGCCGCCTCAGGAGCCGCCTCAGGAGCCGCCTCAGGAGCCGCCTCAGGAGCCGCCTCAGGAGCCGCCTCAGGAGCCGCCTCAGGAGCCGCCTCAGGAGCCGCCTCAGGAGCCGCCTCAGGAGCCGCCTCAGGAGCCGCCTCAGGAGCCGCCTCAGGAGCCGCCTCAGGAGCCGCCTCAGGAGCCGCCTCAGGAGCCCGGGCCCGGCCGCCGCCGGGTTCGAACGGGGCCCGAGGCCGCCTCTTATTGGCCCGCGCCGCTGCTGCCGGGGGCGGGGGCGGGGCTGAGGGGAGCCGGGAGGGGGCTGAGGGGAGGGGAGGCGGAGGGAGGAGGCTGAGGCGGCTCCAAGGAGCCCACAGAACCCCCAGAAATGAGGCATCTGAAACTCACATTGAAGTTGGGCTCGTTTACGCTTGGTTATAAATCAAGTCTCAACTCTGAACTGTGCTCCACCAACACGCACACACGAACATCAAACATTCCAAATATTAAATAAATAAATATTAAATAAAAGGCATTGCTTTACATAATAACCCGAGTATGCCTATACACACGTACAATCAGGATAGGTGACTGTGAGGAATGTGTTAACAATTCGTGTCCATAAAGAACAGTCCTGTCTGCCTCTGGGCCCTGCACTGGCAATTTAATTCTTGAACCACAGACGCAGTGTGTCCCAGTCTCCCCCTCATTCTAGTCAATTTATCAAGTCTTCAGAAAATGCTCCTCAAATTTATGAACCTGTTTGCTTTTGCTATTCCAGACTTCTAACAGTTACAGCCATTTTTCTGTCTTCTTCCAGATTAACTTAACACTGCTCTAGGTGTGACTGTCCCTGTGAATGGCTGGGGAACAATGTTTTAATTACTGGTGAAGTGTCAATAAGAAAGCTATTTGTGTTTGTATGAAGTCTTTGATGTCTGGAGGTTTCAGAACAACTGATAACAACTAGTGACTGTTATGGGATACTCTGCAAACCTCTGGTATCTGGCCTGGTGGCCAAGAGATTAAGAAGAAGAAAAAAGAAGCTGAAGGATGGCTGGGAGACAAGACCTGCAGAAAATGTTCTATAAACTTGGGACGGTGCCAAAGGAGTACAAAGGGAAGGACGAGAAAAAAACTTGGAGAGGAAGACTATGAGCCTTCAGCATGAGAGACCCCTAGAGACCCCCAGAGGAGACTGATGCGCATGCTCCAGTAGGAGGGACTGGACCCCGGAAGCTAATTATAATAATCTGTTTTTTGTTAGAAGTAGTAAGGAATATGTATTAGTCTAGGAGTGTAAAACAGCCTACAGAAACCCCCCAAATAAGCATCTTCCGCTTACACTGAAGATCAACTCATTTAGGATCCATTTATTAAAACCCTATAAATATTTAATCTTTTCAAGTATTCGTGTTTCCTATATCTTAATCGTGTCTTCCTCTTCATCACCTACTCATTCTTCCTCATCTTCCTCTTCTTAGCTCTGGCTTTCTCCTTTTTAGCCTTGAAAGCCAGCTCCTCTTCCACCGTCGGGTCTGCGGCCTCGGTGATCTCCGGCCCGTCGGGGTATTCTTTTTGCACTGGCTCAGGCAGTGCAGGTGTATGGTTTTCTGGGCTGTATTTGTGACCCCAGCCAAAGTAGATATTATTAAATTTCCTGAGGGGAAAAAAAAAAAACTGGTGAAAAGTTCACACCATCAGCCTGCAACACAATATCGATCAGTGCAGATCCTCTCAGGGCTCCTTACTCCTGCTGTGCAAATAGAGTGCAAGCTCCCTGTAACAGCTGTTTAAAGGAACACATCTCTTTCTAGCTGTTGGATTCACTGCGTCCAGCTCTGGGGCCCCCAGCACAAGAAGGATGTGGAGCTGTTAGTGTAGATACAGAGAAGGGCCATGAAAACGATCAGAGGGCTGGAGCAGCTCTCCTGTGAAGACAGGCTGAGAGAGCTGGGGATGTTCAGCCTGGGGAAGAGAAGGCTCCAAGGAAACCTCAAGCTGAAAGTTTTCAGTCCTGAAGTATCAAAGCTTTTCAGTACTTAAAAGGGGTCTTAAAACAAAGACGAGGAGAGACTTTTTATAGGGCACTGTAGCAACAGAATAAGAGGTAATGCTTTTAAAGTGGAAAGAGGGTATATATAGACTAGATATGAGGAAGAAATTCTTTGAGGGTGGTGAGGCACCAGAACAGGTTGTCCGCAGAAGCTGTGGATGCCCCATTTCTAGAAGTGTTCAAGGCCAGGCTCGTCTACCTGGGCAACCTGGTCTAGTGGGAGGTGCCTATGGCAGTGGGGGTGGAACTGGAGGATCCTGTAGGTCCCTTCTAACCCAAACCATTCTATGCTTGCATACCTTCCACTTAAAAATCGCCAAGTGCAAAAATGATGAATGCTACACTCTGTCACTGTGCGATATTGCAGTATGACCCCAATTTCACCTTAGTAACATAGAGCCATTCCTGACACCCACTCCAGTGCCCATTTAAAGCTTCTAGTGGTAGTGACTGTACTGTGCCTAACAGAAACAACTGAAAATTAGAACAAAAGAATTAAGCTCATTTGTAAAAAGCACCACAGACCCAAGAATACAGGTTTTAAATCCAGGACTGTGGCCAGGCACTAACCGAACATGTACATGCATCAGTTTTATGCTAGCATTTCCAAAGATTCTTCATTTCCAGTCTTGAACACATACTGATGCTGTGCACTCTTAAGTGGCTTTCTCTATCAGTCTCAGAAATAGTTACAATTCAGTCAATAAATTTGTAAGAAACCAAATTTGACTTCATTGGGCATGGCTGTGTTCAGCGTATCAGTCTGTGTTGTAACCATGTCAACTGGCTACTCACGTGCCAGATGCAAAGGCATATGCTCCAGGCCATCGGTGCGACTGAAGGATTGCAACAGCATATTGAGGGATCAGGTTTGTAGAAGGCTGAGCTGTCCAAGCAGGGATGTTTTGAATTCCTGCAGGCAGCCAAACACACGCTACATGAATAAATTGACTTACAAGCCACTACAAAATATTGAGGACTGAGCTACAAGGCTTTCACAGAACTCAGGCAACGCTTATATTAAGATGCATGTTAGAAGAACTAAGTCACAAGCAATAAATGTAGACATTGCGTTCAGACAGGTGGTTTGGATGCAGGGGCAGGTATCACATGGATGCCAACAGTCCCATACAGAAAGGATCATGTTCTTGAAATGCAGTAGTGCTCGCTGCTGTTTCTTTTGTCAAGGATTGTTTATCACTGAGGGATAAATTACATATGTATTTCACCCTGATCAAAGAATGGGGAGTAGAAAAATAATTTGCTATGGCTACAGTCTAGTATTTAGGTTTCCATATCTCTAGGAGTTGCTGCAGTATGTGCTAGAGGATATAAATTCTTATTTGTATATCTATGCATGTGTGAATATATATTTATTTTTGTGTGCATGCTTTTCTTCTGCCTATAAAGGTGATGGAAAAATAGCTGAATGTATTTCAGGGGTGAGCTGTCTGGCAACTTGCAGTAGCCTGACATATCTGAATATTTTTTCCCTTTATTCTCAGCAGGGACTGTTAACTAGTAAACCCAATCATTTCCGTCTTAAGGTCGATTCTGTTAACCATTTCACATTTGATTAATTTTGTAAAAGAATGTGGTTACCCTACCATGGCAAACTACATTGTTCTGTGAAGCGTCAGAGGCCTGTAACTTCAAATATTTACTACCTAAATGCCAACAATCCCAGTGGCTCTATCAAAAATCATACTCCATGAGGAGTACCTTCGTCTTCAGAGAGTGGAGTGAGAAGGGGAGGTCCTATTTCTTGCTGTAGTTCATCTGGCTCCTCCTCTTTCTCTTCCTCCTCTTCACCTTCCTCTTCTTCTTCCTCTGATTTTTGTGAAGGGTTAATCCAAACACAACGACCCTAGAATCAGTAAGGCAGAATAATAAATACATGCAACAATCAATGAAGAAATGCAAGCCAGTTAAAACAATTGGTTCACACACAAGCGCAAGTGGGGGAAAAAGAAAAAAAGATGTATTCCAGAATTGGGACGTTGTTGACAGAGAGCTGTACGTATCCTCTTGGCAGAGTGCTCTCTTTATCCCTCAGTCATTCCTTATCCCTGCTTACTATTGCAGAATGACCCCATGGCTCTCTGATCAGCTTTCAGCTATTTTGTAGTTTTCACTTCTTTTAAGTACAATCAATCCATGCTGATATTATCCATGCTGATACTTATCCATGCTGATACTTATCCATGATGACACTTATCCATGACGGCACTTATTGGCTGGGATCATATCATTAAGCAAACATATATTTCAATATTCATCTTGTGAAGAGACAGTAACTTGTTGCTGGCCTTCATTGGGCACAAACATGCTAGCACTACCTGTCCCTTCCTTGTCAGGCACAGGCTGTGAATATGCACAGAAGACAGACAGAACATCCTGTCCCTGTGCACCTGGGCCCAAGTCTAAACAATGCACATGAAAAGTCTTACCTTGTACTCTGTATTTCAGTTCAACAATTACTGAACACAGAAGGCACGAGAAAGACCACAACATCCCATGTTTTCATGCCAAATTATCTTTATGTTTACAGTGAACTGAAGTCAGGAATTTAGTTCAATCCTTGCCTGTTGTCAGTTGGGTTTGTATCCTTGCTGGATTGCCAGTTATTGCAAGCTGAGAGACGAACACTTACAGACTTTTAAAGACTTAATGCCTTTTAAAGTCTGCCTTGTTTTTTAGCTACCAAGTCAGAGGAACATTACAAAATGTTCTTAAAATTCTAATGGTAACAGATTTTATTTTTTTTCGAACTATTGTTTTGCTGGCAATAAAATTAAACTTTAGTTCCTAGCACTTGCTCTTATTTTACACCACCATTCTTAAGTTGGTATCCAGGAAAGATGACTGCATTAGTAAAACCTCTTTCCAGCACTAACCTGATATAATAAATATTTTATGCTACAATTGTATTTACAATGGTTTGGTTTTAAGTTTTGAAGCTTTTTTGTTTGCATGTTTCACAGCAGAAAGCAAGCAACGGAAGGTAAGCCAGAAGAAAACACCAAATAAGTTTCGTTTAGCATACAATCACAAGCTGTCTGAAATTTAGCATCCTATCCAAGAAAACAGAATTAACAACATTTCTGTCAAGCGAGGATTTCAGGAGAGGTAACCCAATGTAGAAGAAATAATTATCTATCAAGGCCTAATCCTATGTGATTATCTAAAGATAGGTTTGCACACGAAGATGGAAAAAATCATGAAACACGTGTATATTTAGAAACCTTCTCATATTTAAATATGTGCAACACATTTATATATGATAGAACATTTCTAATACATTTTCTGTGGAAAATCTTTTCAGTCCAGTCCTGTTTCTGGTGAATAGTTCAAATGGGTGGGTGAGGGGTTTCATTTACACTCTGAAGCACTACCGGGAGAATGGCCTCTGAGGTCAGTGTGGCCTGTGTGAGGACCTACCTGCTTTAAAATACTCGGCACATAGTGTACCCACGTGGAGAGAGACTCCACCATTTCAGCCACAGAAAGAGGCTGGAAATCTGGGTTTTCTTCACACGCATCTCTTCCTCCTCCCCCTTCCTCATCTTCATCTTCTTCCTCCGCAAACTGGTAAAATCCAATGGGACAGACGTGGGTTCCTGCTGAGATCCGAGCTATCTGTGCACGCAGGTAGTTGGCCTCATTTCCAGGGAAAGGAGGGAAGCTCACAACAGGGGCATCCAGCCTACCAGTGAAGAACTTCTTGATTTGCCTGGCACAGACAATCTGCGCTGGTGTCACTGGAGGCAACTTCACCCAGGGTTTGCCAGGCTCATTGCAAACAAAGTAGATGTATTTGTTAGCCCCAGGTTCCGTTTTCTTCTTTTGGGATGACAGGTGGGGGCTTGTAGGTAGACTTTGGTGGCTCATCTTCTTTTTCTTTCTCCTCGTCTTCATCTTCGACTTCACCCAGCCCTTTCTCTCCTTCATCAGGAACTTCTTCTTCCTCCTCTGTTTCCTCCTCCTCTACTCCCTCCTGGAATTGTACTTCAGCTATAATGTAGTTCATCTCCAGGCCCAAAATTTTGCCCCAGAAGCGACATGTCTGGATTGGCTGGGCACTAACAAGTTTTTTAAGGGCAAGAAATATGTGATAGTATTCATCTTTGCTCAAGCCAATTCCAGCCTGCTCAAAATAAAAGGCCGTTTCCATCACATTAGGTAGAGGAGTCTCTCCCTAGTAAAGAAAATCGTGAGTTAGAGCTGAGTAATAATAAAATGATCTATTTGAAAGACTGAACAATTTATCTACTGAAAGTCATACTTCACTTTCCTATAGTGCGCTCTCTCAAAAAGCTCTGCTGACATTCATTTACATCTCCCACTATCATTTAGAAAAATTAAAAATGACATTGTAAGGATAAAGAAGAGAACACAGATGAAGTGCAGCTTTTAGAATACAAGATCTCAATTTTCAAATTCACTTTTAATTACTGCAAAGTACAGGAAGAATTCTCACGAGGGATCTGCAAAGGACTTCAGTGCTAGCACACCTTTTCTGTATAAGAGGCCATGATGCCTGGAAACACTGCTGCTGCGTTGCCTCGTGTTTGTGGCAGATGCACGTGGGGAAAGCAGAAATAGATTTTATACATTTAGACACCAGGGCAACAATATTTCTCTGGAATTAATGTTGTTCTTTTGGATACTTTGGCATAAAGCTCCCTGCATTATTTAAGATGGAATCGGTTAGAGTTGGTATGAAATACTGTCCCCTGACTGAAGTCACTAGTAACACCCCAGCTGGATTCAAGAGGGGCAAGTCTATGCTGGGAATGAGGATTTTATTACGTGTTTCCATTCGCTTTATGACCAGTCTCTCATTTCATGGCTGTAGGGGATTAAAACATCCTGCACAACAGAGTAGGGAATTTGGAAGAAGTAGTGTTGGTTTCACATGGAAGATCCCTGGCTCTTTCAGGTTTATTACGTCAAAGCAAGGTAGATACAAGTAGGAAAAATTCCCTTCTGAAACATCCCACTTTTGTCCATTTTTTACCATCACATACTGTAAAATTAGTAACAGTCTATGGAAAATAATATATTTTCTATTGTTAGGATTTATATTCTATGATGGCAATTCATTTGAATATATCCTGGTAACTTCATATGAAAATCAACGTCTTATTATCTTTTGTTTCCCTTAGTTTTTACAAGAATTCTCTTAATTTTTCTTTGGGTACAAATACTTCCATATATAACCAACTACATACTGAAAATTTCCCTGTTTAATGAAATGGCTTTTTGATTCTAATAGTTTTTTCTTCTTGTAAGCATATTTTTTTTTTCTAGTTGGAGAAGGAAGGACTGGAACTGCAGCTGGAGCTGGAAGGAACACAAAATTCTCTATCTTACCGTAGCAGTTGTGCACAATATTCTGACAGAAGTATCCAGAATTACAGTTACTTTAGGTAAAGAAATATCAGGTTTAGATAAATAAAAGAATTTGGGTGGCATATTCCAGGTTGAACAAGCGTATGAGTGATATTGTAAACTTTCCTTTCTATTTATCATCTCCACAACATCTATGCTTTAATTAAAAGCTCGGGATACGAGACTTACTGCAGCAACTAAATTCCAAACTAAGTAACCAGCTGTGTTTTCTTCACAACTTGACACGGGACCAACTGAACTGTGAAGAGGGTACATGCTACTGGGGCTGTAATCATTTCATGCAATCACGAGAGGCAATACTATGAGGGAGACCACCACTTCCACCTCTTCTCTTCTGCCTTCCTGCCACCTGCCACCCATCTCTCCAGTATATTTGATATCTATTGGTGCCTGATAATAACTCACTTCCTTTTCGTCTAGTTCTTCATCTCCTTCTTCATATGACTTGAGGAACAAACTTTTACTCCTTTCTGCAGATTCAAACCTCGGAGGCATTGCAGGTTCATCTCGAAGAGTATCCATTTTTTTCCGAAATTGAGCCCACTTCACGTCCTTGCTGATATTCTCAATTATGTCTACCACATCTGTGGGCTGTTCATCCAGGATCTTTGTTAGCGTATTAGCAAGATGATCGTACCTGTCATATGAATATAAGTATTATTACTGACCTACTATTACGGAAGTCTTAGAATATTGTTTTTAATATCAAAAGTAGACGGTAATCACCTGGGCGTCAAAGAAATCGGAACAGTTAGATGCAAAGGGATCATGCAGCATTTGGGGAAATTAGACTTGAAACTAGCCTCTTTGTGATATAATCAAGAGTAGCCTCGTCTTCCATTTTTTGTTTACCCCACATCTGACCAAGGAGCTAAAGCAGAGTTCAAGCCTGGCCTTAATCTAATCGAAGGCTCTTTGAACACCATAAATTCCCTTTGGAATTTGGATTGAAAGGGGCCGGACACGCAGTTATAGCATAGCGATTAAACACTGCATTTATAACATGTTCTGCTTTTCCATACTCTGCCGTCCCTGACAGCATAGCCCTTTACCCTGTCACCACCACTCTCATCCTACCCCTTTCCTTCTTGTCTCTTTGGCAGACTTACAAGTTGAGGCCAGATGTCGTGCTGCTCGCCAGCAAGTAGGCTTTTGCATTCTGCATTGCCAGCATTCGGGCTTCGGGATCTGGTACTGGATCATCGTACGGGCTGTATCCTGGCTGATAGAGCCCGTAACCGGGCTCGTGTGGCTGATAGGGGCCATGCCCATCCTCATGGGCTTGGTAAGGCTCCTGTCCTACTCCGTATGTCTGACGGGCACTTCTTGGCTCCTGTGTTTGGCAAGGGTCAAATCCCAGTGCTTGCGACTGATCCGCGCTTTGGCTCGCCTCCTGCGAGTCCTGTCCCTCTGCATACAGCTGGCTGAACCCTTCTGGCACCTGGTGCTCAGGAGAGGCTTGTTCCATCCCCTGTGGGCGATACCGAGTTAGGGTCAGCAATTTATAGGGTGCCCGGCCGGCACTGTCCCGTCAGCGGGGCTCTCAGCAGGGTACTGAGGGCGAGACCCTCCTTCACAGCCCCCACCCCCACCTCCTGGCGTTCCCGGGAACCTGCTCCCGCTCCTGACTCCTCAGGAGGTGACCGCTCGGGGTCCTCCTGAGGCTGCCCGGGGCTCTCTCCGGGCTCCTCGGGACGCTCGGCCGTGGCGTCCATGAAGCGGCCGCCGTTGCCCGTTGCCAGGGCCGCGGGGCCCGGAAGGGGTGTGCCCGGCGGCAGGGCCGGACCCCGCCGCCATTTGGCGCCGCGCCCCTGGGCTCCGCCATCACGGGTGGGCTGCGAGGGGCAGCGTGAGGGGCGTCCCCGCTTCCCCCCTGTACCCAAGTGTTAAAATGCCCAGGACGAGGTTCAGCAGTACAGGGGAAGAGCCTGCTGGCTTTTTCCTCGAGATCTGCTTGACAGCCGTGTGGTAGCGCAGTGGGGGATGCTGTGGCAGCTCCCTCAGGTGTCGTGCTGCAGCGCTACCAACTACAACAGGTGGTTGAAGTTAAAGTTTAAAAGCTTCACCGTATGTCAGAAAGCTTCTCGTGTAAATCGTCTCCTGCGTTGCTTATGATCAGGCTCGCCTCATCTTCTTAATTGCTTATGGCCAAGTCAGTAAAGATCTCTTACTAGTTGACTAAACACGTACCTAGTATTCGACGAGGAGGCTATAAAACGAATAGCTGTTTTTTTCTTAAGCCCTTAGGCTAGCACATTTGAACAGACATCTAAAGCTGGCCGGCCCTTGAGTAAGTGTGAAATGTTTTCTAAAAATTTGACGTGAAAAACAATACTGTGCCAGAGTATCTGAGGGAAGAAATCGATGCTGTACGCATCTCTACAAAATGCCCTGTTCACTTTATAAAACCAAATACCGCAGCTGTTTGTCTGGTAAAATATGCTTAATCTGTGCTCAACGGATGAATTAACACAACTTTTTATAAGTACAGTTTATTTTGGGTGCTTCTTAGAAGTAACCAGAAAGAACGAATTCTGATGAGGCCTCGCAAATTGCTTTCCAGTTCCAAGAGGGAATGCCAGAAGTACCACAGAGGAACCTGACTCTGAACAGCAGCAACAACAAAACAGCTTTCCACATCCTTCCATGGGCAAAAGGAGAATCTGAAAGTTCCTGTACAACATCCCTGTGATGCCAAAAGGTAAGGTAATGTCATGAAAATGTTAATTCTGCTGAGTTTCAACACGAAGAGGTTTTGACTTCCTGGTATTGGCAAGGCATTTGCCCAAGTTCCTCATTTTGCAGATGTATTTGCAGAGCTCACACATCAACTGCAGAGGGCGCGACAGTACTTGTGAATTGCTTTTTATGTGCTATCTGTAGTTCTTATTTGGAGGAAAACCTTGATTTGTTGTTTAGTAATTAATTTCTCTAAAATGCATACAATTATCAGTATTTGTGTAATGTCTTGTGAGGCACCTGCTCAAGAAAAGTCAAGTGCTGTATCTTTACAATCTCTGTTAGCAAAGAAAGAGAAAATGAAGAGCATGTGTAATTTGCTATAGTGTTACTCTCTGCCTTTCCTATTATAGAGATTATTAAATGTACGAGGGGCTCAGGGCAGAGAGTACCTCAGTGCAGAAGGATGTTTTATCAACACGGTGTCATGAGCTCTTATCAATAAAGAAGAGCAACTGAATACATACAGTAATACTGCAGAATTTCACTGTGGCAAACACCATCAGTAGGATGTGTTAATTAGCTGAAGAGTAACTAAAGCGTTTCCTAATGTTTTCTCTTTCCAAGGGAGGTGTGCTAATGGCTTGTGTTGATACCTGACCACAGCAGATGCAATGGTCTCTCTTGTACTATGAATTCAAGACAATTTTTCAACAGCACTTTTTAAACTGAAATCTTGGTGTCTGCTGACTTCCAGTTGCAGATCCAGAGGTGACATATAAAATGCCACGTGAAGAACTGAACGTTTGTTGCGCTGTGGTAGTTTCATTGCTGAATTTTGATCGTGCTTGCATTGGTAGGGGAATCTGAATAGAGCTTCCCATTTCACATGGGAATCCTTCTGTGCTCTGTTAATGTGGAGGCAATCATTGAATTAAAAAGGCCAGTTGCAGGTCCCACATGTGTGAAGAAGCATGCTTTCACCATCAGACTGGTGAGTAGCAGCTGTAACCACTGAGGTGGTTCCTGTGCAGTGGGCAAGGCAAGTTTCTCTGCCTTTTGCCCTTGTCTTAGGAGCTACGTGCCAATGCTTTCTGTGCAGAAAATATTCCTGCAAGCAGCTGCCAGGTGTGCTGTCTGTCAGCTCGCTCGAGAGGAAGGCCTAATTAGTCAATTTTTAGGTTGCAAATCATGTTTTAGGCTGAAGTGCCCCTGAACATGTGAAAATGAACTTTACCTTCTCCTTTAATGTATGTTTATGAATTAAACACTTATGGTCAATCTGCATGGAACTAAAAGACTTCAAGAAAAAAGGTATGAAAAGACTGTGAAGTACGAAACTACTTCTTATGTTTTTTCTCTGTTCAGAAGCTAACCATGTTAATTTCTCCTCAGTTCCAAAGCAGTTTCACACAAATTTATGCTCAACTAAATACACAAGTGGCTTTAACTGTGTACATTTTATCTTTTATTTTTTTTTATTTTTTATTTTTTTTTTGTTAGTTTGTTTTTAAACCCTAAGCTAAATTAGTGCTGGCAGTCAGAGGTGCTTTTCCATGAGGCAATATTGTTAGGAAGCTGAGAGACCATCATCCTTCTGGAGGGGTCTGATGGGAAATGTGGAAGGCGCTTTGCAGAGAATAACAATCATTTGTAGAAATCCGATGCTGGTTTTTGCTCTTGCTGCAGTCGGTGGGAGCTTTATTATGGACTTAGTGAAAGTAAGATGATGTCCTTTGTCATTTCATCAGCCCTTGACTCCCATAACCCGGTTTGTGTGGATGAACAGATTTTAGTCCTGATTTGAAGGGGAGAGTTGCCATGGTTAAGGCTGAGCATGACTTTGCATCCAGAGGTGTGAATTCTGTATTTTGCATCCCCTGAGTTCAGAAAATCACCCCGACTTACAGGAAAATGCTGAATAAATGCATTTAATTATACGTGGCTGTGATTGTGGTGATGTAAGGCAGCGAAATTTCAAGGTGGGAGAAAATCTTCTATCGCTTGGTAATCTGAGTGCTAAACCTGTGTTGTTAACAAAGCTCTTGTTATGATAGCGACCTGATGAGGATTTTTGGTGTGAAAAATGCAGGACATGGAAGTTTTTCAGGTAGTGGGTTGTAACGTCTTTGTGCCTGATTTCTGTTACTGGAGGTAATGGCATTTCTCTCTTTTGGGGAGCTGTGAGACTGACTAAAACTTGCAGTTTGCAGTGGACGCCCTGATTAGTGCTTTCTAAGTGCTGTATCTCAACTTTATCAGAACTTTCATTGATTTTGGCATGTTGTTTCTTGTCTTTCAGTACCATCACAGAGCTGTGGGTTTTGCTGTTATTTATGAGGAGAAAGCATAGTTTTCTGGCAAAAAGGCTGTTAGCCGTTGTGCTTCTTTTAAGTACATCCTGGGTTTAAGCAGTGTCAGCCGAGGTACTTTGTCCTGGTGCTCAGAACTTGTCTGTTTCTTACAAGTCGATCAGATTGCAGCTGCTGCAGGCTTCACAGGCTGTGTGGAGTGATAATTGCGAGGGTGAGCTGAAGAAAATGTTGGTCCTTGCTGGTACATTACAGCTGCAGTAAGATCAAGTGGGCCCGTTCTGGAGCCGTGCAGGGCCAGCTCAGCTTCTCTTCCGTGCTTCTGTAGGCTGTTAGGTGGAGAAGTCCAAGCGGCTGGCTGGAGCAGTGCCTTGCCTTCAAGTGTAACTCTTCTTCACTGTGTTCCTGAACTATTTCTCATCAACTGAACCAACCAAATGTGTTGCGTTGAGCCCCACAGATCCTCGTGGTTGTGTTGTTGAAGAAAATGGGCAAATTTGGTGGTCGGAATCTAAGGTCTTTGCTTGCTCCAGGTGTGACTGTGCAGGAGCGGTGTGGTGTGTGTGGGGGCAAGACCCCGTTCTGCTCTGCCTCTCACAGCCTTGAGCGATCTTCAGGAGCACAGCAAGGAGACAGAAGCCAGTGAAGTTCTCCTGGGGTGGTGGTGGGATGAAGAGGAGGGGAGGTTGTGTTCAATAGAGAAATTCTTGGGCATTTTGTTTCTGTTGATATTAGATTAAGAGAAAGCTAAAGTCACAAAAACGGAGCAACAATTTATAGTAAATAAAAAGGAGGCTTACTTTTTAGGTTTGTAAAAACAAACAAAAAACCCCGCCTGTATTTCTGAAAGTGATAAAATGAACTCTTGTATTAGGTACTGCAATGAATTGATAATGATTACATGCGGTAGTTTTGCTCAGCTTCAGCATGAGAATAACTGCAGTCACTTTGAAAGGATTATACGTTTCTGTCAGCTCCTATCTTGCTGTTCCCCGGCTGTGTGTTGTAGCACTTCTCACTGTAGAATGGATTTGATAATTTTTTTCCCGACTGTGGTAAACCCTCTAGTCTGCAGCAGCAGTGTAAATCAGGGCATAGTGATTCAGCAGTATTTTACAAAAAATGAAGAAATGGAGAACTGGGCCTGGCATTTTGCCCTTTCAAATGACTAGGAAAAGGACTAGGTAAATATATACTGTGCTGTTTGTCAAATACTTATAAAATAGTCTAACATCAAAATCCTGCAGGAGTGTGGATGGCATTGTTCTCGTTACGGACTCTGGAAATGTCCAGGAGGTTCTGAGGAACTTAATGATGTGCAAAAGGTGGTTCACTAGGGCTATGTACATATGTAAAAATGTTCACACAAACTCTTTACAGGAGAAGCTTGCCATGTTAGGTTCAGTAATAAATGTGAAATTCTGCTCAAAAATCCATTTTTATATTGTAGTCTTGTCATAAAATCAGCATTACTGAATTGGCAAGCTTTGGATCAAGCACATGAGCATGAAGAAGTATTTGTAAAGCTTAGGCATATTACTTTTTTATTCAAAAATACAACGTTTCGGTCCATATTTTTTTAACAATGTCCAAGCAAGTTGCCCTGTATTTTGCCATTTTGACTGCGTGCTGTGCAATAATTGATTTGTTTGATGATAGCAGCAAGCTCAGAAATAGCGTTTTTAATTTCTGTGCTGAGTTCATATTGCAGCTGTGATCTCTATTTGAAATATAGCTCAAAGCATAATGAGGAAGCACGTCCATAAAGTTCCCTCCGTGATGTTTTCCACTAAGGAGAAATCCGGCTGTATCATTGTTACTTTATGAAATACTGTTAGATCAGTCATTTTCTCTGGAAATAATTTCTAGAAGTTCAACTATTCTTTCACTGCAAATTGGCCACCTAGGTTCAGTTTGTATTGTTGCAGATAAGTGTCCCATTTTCTTCTTCCAGAGATGTAGAATTTCCTGTGAGTTCTACATCTTACTACCTTTATTAACTTATTCTGGCAATAAGCACGTTCACTGGAAAAATATTTTCTTCTTCTTTGCTATTTTTTTTTTCTTTTTTATTACTTTGGATATAGCTTCTATTTTCACTGCATTTTCACTTTTTTTTCCTGTGAAAAACATGACAAAAACAAGGCAAAAACTTGCAGCAGCAATCAAAAGACTATATTTAGGAGAAGGCAACGGGAGTACCTACAAAGTGTCTCTGAGGTTTGTTTCACTGTATTATACATCTGTAACTTTTGCTAATATCACCAGATTTCTGATACAATGGTTTCCATCTCATTTTACATATAAATAAGTTTTCCATAGAAAATATGCCATGAATTTAGATAGTAGATTCTATTAGTCTGTTTTTCCTGCACGATATTTCTATAGCCTTTGTAAACAGCATCTTGCTCACCTGGATTTGAGATTTGCTTCCCTCTTTTATGCTGGTGGTCAGAACCGGTTCTGTAGCTGTTGGTGATGTTAATATGTTCAAAGCATCTGGATTAAACCGTATATTGATCTGCGTTTCTCTGTCAAAATATGAAAAGGGAAAAAAGTGTCCTTGTAGGAAACTCCAAGGGCATCCCTTAAGTATGTAAAAATTAAGGACTGAAACATTTTAATTTTAGCTGTCTGGAGTGAGATTGAGAACTCTTTCTAATGCTTATAGTTAATACACACAGAAAATATAAAATGTTTGGGAATTAAA